AATGTATTCTTGGAGTGTCTTTTCCATGATGTCAAGCTGCAATACGCAGTTCCTATTATCAGTCAGCAGGGGGAGGTAAGGAAGACAAAACGCAGTCGATTAAAGCACCACGTTCTTAAGGTACAGTGATGTAGGTTTGAGGCCATTAGTGTTGCTGCCTCACTGTTCCTGGGCCTTAGGTTTGCTTCTGAACTGGGGCACCTTCCATGTGGAGTCTGCATGTTCCCCTGTGCTCCTCCTCCTTCTGAAGAAATGTTGTCAATGTTAACAGGTCTCTCTAAACTATTCTTGAGGGCTTGTGTGCATATGCCCTGCAGTGGATTTCAATGGAGTGAAACAAACACTTTAACAACACATAAGATAGTGTAAGACAGGAATCTCCTGGGGACATTAAATTGTTATAGTTGCAATTTCATAAAGTGGAAGTTTGTATTGTTAAGTATTTAACCAAGTGATATATATAATTTCTAATATATAATAATACTAGAAAACGATGCAGACCCAGGCTGGGAATTGCTTGTATTGCTGTATTTTACCATGTGAGTGGATGATAATCCATCTCATTAGTGTATCCCACACATTTGAACTTACTGGTGATGTTTTCTGTTTCTTTTGCATCTTCATCGTCATAGTTCTGAGATCCTGATTAGCAGGTAATTGGGGACACATTGAGTGATGAGTATAAATAGCTGGAAGCTTTTGTGTGAAATTGATGCTCTGAAGCAGGTCATCTTTGACTCTTTTTTGTTTTTGTTATGCGAAACGCAATCTAGCGGTTCTTATTTTTCACATTTTATACAATTGTACTATGTACCTGTAGAAAACACAGCGCATGTAATTTGTATTTCGTTTTTCTTCATTTATGTGAAAAGTTTTAATTTTTGTTTCTGTTTCTTACCTGTTTCTACTTCATCCACTTCCCAAAGTTGAGTAAGAAAGTGTTTTTCGTGGAACTTTCAAAATGGTCATTTTTAATGCGAATGTGTGCAGAGGTCCCAGGGGAGATAGCAACAGAAAAATGGTGGAAACTATGAAGAAAGCAGAAGCTGGGAGTGTTTATTCAATCCCCACTTTCTAATGCGCATAATAGAACTAGCCTCCTTAATTGGAAAGCTCCAAAAGGGTAGGATAAGAATTGAAAGTAGGAGGCACTGTGTGTCTGAAAGACGTTCTTTATGCAACCTCTACAGAGGAGGATGTGAAGGGTACAAATGGTACTGGCTTTGTCTGGGCAGCGCTGTGTAGTGAGCCTGTTCAGCGCCATCAGTATGAGCTCACTGTTTGGAAGCAGGATTGCTGAACATTTGCAAGTGACTGGCACATGCTCCAAATGCTGGGCTTGCATAACCTCATTTCGCCACTGTAACCTTCTCTGACCTGGCTGAGAATTTTCCCAGATTTTCTAACCAAGAAACCATCTGTATTTCAGTTATGAAACTGGAACAGAGGGATATATTGATGCCTTACCTCAGCAGTGGTGCAGTGCAAGGCAGGGGACTCGAGCCAAATTTGATTAGTTTTCTCCTGGCTGTTTGCAGTCCTTTGTACTCTGTAAACCTTTGCAAAGCTGATGTGCTGTAATGAAGAAATTCACAGACTGAAATAATACATCAGTTTTTAAATATTTGTGAGTCAGATGCAGGGGATGCAGTTGTCTTTTTGCATAGCTGTTTGTGTTAAAGACAGGTGATTAAAGCAGTGATATATCGCTACAGGTGGAGCTGACTATAAAATATAATATTGTTACAAATAGTGGCTACGAAATGGAGAAACATCGAGAAATGACTGAGTGGATTAATCATTAAAAAATCAGAACCTCCAAGTTGTAAACCAAGCATATACTTTACCTGAGCGAATTTTATTAGAGGCACCTGGGTTTTTTCTACTCTGGCACAGCTTTGGTGAAAGGAGTAATAATTCAGATGCACTGGGTTAAACAAATATTTATAAATAAAGACGATACACATGCGGAACAACATTGCCCCCAAAAAACCCCAGACTGCTACCAAGTATTCAACTCTTATATCACCACTACAAAGGCCAAAAGAAGAGAAAGCTGCCTTCTAAACTGAACAGAATACAACCTACAGTTAAATGTCTGTTTCTGTAAACCTGGATGCTACAAAATGAATGGGAACCTATCTTCCTATTCTAAAAAATGCATTCACTAACCAGGAGAGGCCTTTTTTAACCAAGCTCTCTTAACAAGGTTCAGACACTTAACTCTAATCTGGTCTTTATGGATGATGTAGACAAGGAGCTCTCGTCTGGCACACGCTTTATTTTGTCTCCTTTCTGTGTTTCTGTCTCTTGTTGTGTCTCCCTTTCTGTACCTGTCTGTTCTATGCTGTGAACTTCATTAAGGTAAATCAAGGTAAACTTTAAGATGTACGATTGCTTTGATCACTAAATCTTGGACCCCTGCATCTCAGCAACTCCTTGCTTTGAAGCTCCTGAGAACTGGAAATGTTGATACAGCCAGGTGTTATCTAGATTCTAAAAGACACTTCAATATTTACAATTGCTGCAGCAATATAATACAGAGCAGAGTGCTACTGTATATTAATTCATGAATGTGCTGTTCAGGTAGCAGGCAGGTTACACGTGGAGCTGATGCGGGTGAGCGGGGCTGTTCCCGAGAGGCTTGTCGGGGGAGACGACTCTTCCGAGAACTCTAGCGAGAGTGGGAGCTACGAAATTATGGACAATCATGGAGAAATTGTCCACATGGCCAAGAAACTCACATGCAGGGTAGGAAGGCAGTATAATCTTATCTGTCAGTTTTCCTACAGCTTTAAATAATCTTTGTAATAATAATAATAATAATAATAAAAATTACAGCCTAAATACAGAAGATAAAATTAGCTATGATGTGTAAATGTGAATTTGGAAAAAAAAAAATTAAAACTGTCGTCATTGATTGTAAATACAGTAGTACTTTTCCTAACTTACATTTTGCATTTTTTATCTGAGTATAAACCTCTGTTTCACATCTTTCTCATTTCTTGCAGGTAAAGATCAAAGAAGCCACAGGTCTGCCGCTGAACCTGTCCAACTTCGTGTTCTGTCAGTACACCTTCTGGGACCAGTCTGAGCCCACAGTGGCCCCTCCAATGGTGAACCCTGACAAGCCCTCTCCTAAAAACAAAGACGTTCAGTTCACTGTGAAATTCGAACACTGCAAGGTAAAAAGACAGTACTTCTAGCCCTTGAATATTGAATCCTTTCAGCCAACTGTGCTGTATTCTGTTAGGGGGATCAGGAGTTTTTGGTTAATTGTTTTAGTTTGGAATACAGTGTAATTCCGTTCCCCCTTTTCCCCCAGTTCTAGATCACAGCTGCATGATTGCAACTGCTGTTCATACCCTCAATGCATCATGCTAGAGCATGAGAACGATTATTTATAAAGGATTATTTTTATCTAATAGGTCCAACAGACAAAGCCCTCTACGCATTTTTTACATAATTTGGCCTATAATCCTGTTAATGCAAAGTCTAGGAATGCATTGCATGCCGCAGAGCATAACTTTTAAACTGTTTTTGTCTTGACATAATTAGGGCTTCTGCTTCTTTGTGTTTATTTTTGGAAAACCCAAGTGAATATATGTAGTTTTTTGGGGGACTTTTGCTTTAGCTTTTAATAAACATCATTTAAATAATAGCTATTGTTTAATAGTTTCTAAAAGTCTGCTCCTTTTCTGTTTGTTTCTGATGACCAGGTTTTCTAGTTTCTAGTTGTTCTTGGCATAAATCATGCACCTTTTTACAATGTGCTTTCCGTACAAAAATATAAATAACACTTTTTATACGAGTACAATAACCATTAAATGCTCTTCTTTTCTGCATACTAAATCCCAGGTGCTATGTAGTCTAATTGGGTATAATCTCAATTAACTGTTCAAGGTGTTTAGGGTTTATATACAGATTAGACTGCAATTGTTCATTAACTGTAGCTGAATTAGGAGGTACAATTATGACAGTTATCAGCATGTGCACACTCAAATTACCGCAGTTACCATTTTAAAAGCCATCGTGCGAGCATTAATCTGTCCAGCCTCTGTTAGGGTGGGTTTATTTAAGAAACTCAGAAAATATTAATACAGACTTTTTGGATCGTGGTGTCCGAGTTAATCAACTGAAACTGAAAACCAAAAAAATTGTAGACACAATTGAGTTGACTATAGTACACTACTTTTGTATATACTGTATTTTTTTAGAAATAAACGATGTTACATATAAACTTACTTCTACTGAGCACAAACAGTAATTTAAAACATTAAAGGTAAAACAGTCATACTTTTTGTAAGATTAGGGACAGATTATAATTCACAGATTTTATTAAATGTTTAACAGGTTTTCAATTTTAACTTATAAACCGCAGGCATCTGAGGACTGTTATAATCCCGACTTTTAAGAACATCTAAAGCATTGTAGCTTTTAATTGTCAACAGCCTGTCCATTTATACTGACCAGGAAACCGAAATGAACCAAGAACAATTTTGGTGACTAAGTGTTGTTAAGGAGATAATATGGTTTTGTTTGTGGCCCATTCTGAAAAAAATGGTTGAAAACAGTGGTGCACCTAAACAAACTACAGCGCAGTGCTGTGATATTTCCTCTTCAGTCATTTTGCCACACACTGTCATGTAACCCATTCCAAACTCAGAGCTACAGTAGTTTAATAGCTCTCCTAAAGCAACGCAACAAAGGTTATCAAGCCATTCAAACCTGGAACAGGTGGTGTGTTCGGATCGGGCTTTGGTCTTGGGTGCTGAAACAGCCTGCTTCCTCTTCTCTCCTGAAGGACTATGTGGTTCACGTGACAGAAGAGTTCCTGGAGTTCATGTCAGAGGGGGCTCTTGCCATCGAGGTGTGGGGTCACCGATGTGCGGGGAACGGCAGGTCTCTTTGGGAGCTGGACGCCATGCAGGCCAAAACACGTACTCTCAGAGACAGGTACCAGCCTCCTGACGCTTTGCATTTTAGGAAAAAACAGAGGAGGCCACTTGGCCCATCTAGCCAGTTTGGTATTTAGGATTCAATTGACCCAAGAATCTCAACCAGGTATTTCTTGAAAGAAGCCATGGTGTCAGTTTTAACAACATGGCAAGGTAACTTCAAAACTCCCACAACACTTTGCGTTAAGAAATGTCACCTGTGCTAAGTAGCTGCTCTATGAATCATTCACTTGTGCCCTCTGGTGTCTGTTTCGCTGTTCATTCTAAAAAAGGCCACTGGGTTGACCTGGACGTTTTGCCTTTTTTTTGTTTTGAAAAATGATCATATACATCACGGAGCCCTATTAGAAGTTGTGCAACACTGGAACTCTCATCTGGTATACCCACATTTCTTCATGTTTAAACCCACTCCCTGTTCCTCTCCCCCTCTCCAGATGGAGCGAGGTGTCCCGGAGGATTGAGATGTGGGTGTCCATCCAGGAGCTCAATGAGCTGGGGGAGTACACCGCTGTGGAGCTGCACCAGGCCAAAGACGTCAACACAGGGGGCATCTTTCAGCTCCGCCAGGTAAACACACTGATGTCTTTAATTTTTAAAGCTCAGAATTTTCAAACTTTCGTGGCAGGCTTCTGGATAATTTTCAGAAGTTGTGCCCGTGCAATGGAATGAGCTTATGTTTTGAAACTCGGGATTCTATAGTCAGGATGTCTAACTGCCGTTTTAAGATCAGGATATTTTGGGGGGGGTTAGGGTCGAAGGTCCAAGTGAAAATGTATTCAGTATTGAACTTCACAGCTTAATTGCGGCCTCTTGAACGGTTCATGCCGTAACATGTTGCTTCATGGCGGAGAATCAGAATTCTTCTCAACCTACTGGTTTTCTTTCCGTGTTGTGAGGTGAGGTCAGGGGGTATGTACTGTGTTTCCAGGGGGGGGTTGTGTGTGGGCATTTATGCACCACTTCATCCTGCTGTCAGGGTCACTCTCGGAGGCTCCAGGTGGCGGTGAAGCCGGTGCAGCAGTCCGGGACTTTACCCCTCATTGTGGAGGCCATCTTGTCTGTGTCCATCGGCTGTGTGTCCGCTCGCTCGGTCAGGCTGCAGCGTGCCTTGGACAGCTACCAGGTACAGTCGTGCTCGCTTCGGTTTGCCCTGGACATTTCACCCACAAGACTCAAGGCTTTCAGGATTGATTAAAAATACTCTGCATCAGCAGAAACTCAAGGAACAGTCATGAGTCTACTTGAAAGACATTTAAATTGAAACTGAAGCCAAAAACCAGCAGAAATGCATGAACTGGGCAATAACATGATGTTTCGTGTAATAATGACATGGATGCCATGAAAGCAAGGTGTGATATATGTCTTAGTACCATATTTCATTCATGCATACAGTATTAGCACAATTTAAAGCCATGCATCATGGCATGATAATTTTGATGTGACTGGCAAAAATCAAAGTCCTGTTCCATTGTCATTTACGTTACAATCCTTTATCAAGACAGATGACTGTATATGACTTCCTCTTGCTAATGAGAGAAGTAGCCACCTTTTTCATTATTCTTGTAGTTCATTGTGAGATCATTTTATGCATTTTGTTTTTATTCTATTTTCTTATCTACTTATTTAACTTTTCTTTTTAATATGTTCAGTGTGACATCATATTATTATAATAGAAGTGTATTTGCAGGTATAAAGTCAGATTATCTGCTTGTCTGTAGAGAATGCTATATAGTGCTATATAAAAACGAAATATGTATTTTACAATATGTAAATGATAAATTAATATAACAGTATTTAAATATGTAGTTATAATATGCTATTTAGTTTGAAAAGGGGTTTTCGGCATTAATCAAAATAGCTATTCTATACTGATGCACAATAGAAATGCAACACTCAGATATAATGAATTTGAACATTTTAAACATGTCACCCTTCTGCTGCTGTGCAAGTTGACCTGGTATTGCTTACGCCATAGAGACGGCAGTCTCAAAACAATTACGTAGTTTTTTAAGGACAAGACCTTCCTGGGCCATTCTGGTGACCCAGGATGTGATCCGTCTATCCCAGTGCTGAATATTGCAGCAGATCATCTCAGTCTTCATGCTGCTTGTCTTCATGCTGATAACAGTCAGGCACTCCTATCTAACCAATCAACTTACTTTGCAACTTTTTTTACTGTGCATCAGTATACCGTATGTTAGTAATACCGTATGTTAGTAATTCAATCTTAAAATTGAATCAGACACTAAAACATCAAAAATAAATAAGGCATTACCTTTATATTGGCAATATAAATCATGCTTAGTAACAGAAAAGCTAGGACTTACAGTATTTCTGCAGACTGTGACATTTTGCAGCGCAAACTGCAGTTCATTTGAAATAAATCGACGAGATGTGTTCCTCTTTTGCTAAATAACGAAACTATTTGGAAAACAATAAAATCCTGAAAGAATTGCAAGAACTGTGATTCGTATCGGATGGATGTGTGACTTAGAACAATCTTCCTGGGATATTCTGTGTATCTGAGGATAATGGTGATGTTTCTCCTGCTGCATGCTGTGTGTTTACCGAGTTTATTTTCTTCTGCCAGAAGGAGGATGATGCTGATATGGATAGTTACCAGGTATAGTGCTAGCTGCTTCTGCTGATATGAATGCTGTGGAATGAAGCACACAGCTGCTAATGTCCAACCATTCATACAGAGGTGGAGCCAGGGGGTGGGCAGGAAGATATCATTTCTTGTGCTTTTATCAGTGAGGTCACAGGCACTGTTCATATGTATTCACCCCCAAGTCACTTACACTGAAAAAGTGTAAACCCTTTTGGGTTACATTTACCTACTCTTTGCTCCAGAAAACACCATTCATTATGGTTTCTTCAGGACCATGGAGGATTTAACCAGACCTGAAGCTACAGAGCTGTATGTATGAGTAAAAATATAGCCAATCAAAGAGAAATAAGCATTACACATATCTTTGTAGCTTCAGATTTTTCCTTTAAAGCCCTAGATTTGGAAAATTGATGATTGCCTGTCTAAACCTTGGCAAACGACAATGTGATTTCAGTACCTTCCTACAGATTTCATGACCGTGTTCTCCATCTGTACCTAATAGGCTCTAAACCAAATCATGGTCATACTGTCGCATTGTGCTGATATAAAAGATCTTTAATATCATTAACCCCTTTTACTTTTTTTTGTCATTTAGTAGGGTCCACAGCATTTGTCTTCTTTTCATTTAAAGCTACTCGACCCATAATACAATTTGATTTTATAGCTTATTTTATAGTTATAAAATGTTATATTTTATAACTGGAGCAAAGGGGGTAACATCCTAAATTAAGTACATGCTTGAAGTTTATTTATTGCATGATGGAGTATTAAAGTTGATCAAAGTTGTCACCACTGGGGATTACACAGCAAATAGCAAACAGCATTTTATCAGGCACCAGACGCTGAAGCTGTTCAGCACTGCTGGTCAGTGTAGCAACTAGATGAAAAAGAAACTACTAAAGAGATTAGATTTAATCAGAAACTAGCCCTTTTTGTTTCTCAGACACTGGTGACTTCTGAGCAGCTTCTAGTTAAATTCTTATTCATTTTGCAGAACTTTTAATTCATTAATTGAATCTCCTAAATGTTAAATACTACATTTTATATTTATTTGTTTTAAATACACATTTTAATTTTAAAGGAACATAATTTGAAGGTCCATTTCTCTCTATGAGTTACTTGAGCAAAACCACAGAAAACTGTTTAAAAGCACATGTTCAATCATATGACTATAAATCAAGGAACATAGTAAAACACATCTCATTCAGCGTCAGACTTAGAGAATTTTGCATAAACCCCAAACCAGGACCTTTCCCCGGCAAATCATTCTGACACCCAAAGTATCAATGTAGAAACATAGAAACAATTGTTTGTTTTTTGCAATTAAGTTCAGTTAGATAGTTCTGTACTTATAGAATGGCAGAGGGTTGCTAACGGATTGCACACATTTCCACATAGATATTTGTAGACCACGTGCTGGCCAGTCAGGGAATTTCCCTGAAAGGAGACCGTCCTGGCTTTGCAACTCTGACACAGCTACCAAGCACTTAATGGCCACTGCAGATTCACCTACTAACTTCAGCAAGCTGAATGCTTTTTGCCGTCGTGCTAGCTTATGAACTACAAGAATAATGTCATTCACATTATGAAGCCTGGCTGCATGTCTCATTTGCATGGGGAGGTACTTGAAACTCTATGGGACTCTAATCTGAAATCTTAACAATGGCCCACAACCACAAGCACTTTTACAGAGAAATCAGTTCAGGTAAGCTGCTGGCCGGTGAACACATGATTACAGCTCTTCCTTGATGGGACTGGAAAAGTGCAGGTCATTGGGTTTGTCTCCTGATGAGTCACTGTCTTAGCTGGAACTGAAAATCTGCAATAAACCTTGGAAAAAGTGAGCTTGAAGCATTACTTTTGTTGACGCAACAACCAGTTGAAACATGCAGTGATTCTTTGAAAGATTTACTAAACCAGGAACAAAGCCACTGATTAAAGAGCACTTTTCTGTGTTGTTTTAATGCCGTCCAGGGGAGGACTAAACAAACTATAGGAGGCTCTGTCTCAAGACGCACTCTTTGTAAGCCTGTTAGTTCTTTTGTTTTGTTAAAAAATATTGTAAAACAATACGGTGATCTGGTACATGATACAATACTGAATAATGAAGACTCACACATCTCAAAATTTCTTTGACAACAGTAGAATGTGCTTCTAAGATGGAGATGAAATAAGGCCATCCCAGATCCATTTAAAATTGCACTGCAGTCCAAATTTGAATTATATTGACTTAAGGCAGTACAGAATTTTGTTCTGTGAAGTGCTTGTCCAAAAACATGCCACGAGCACCAACTTTTCTCGAAATTCCACCTTTCTATTGTCTACCCTCCCCGTTTAGCCCCGTCCACCCCCACAAGTACCGACACTGACATCTCTGACCTTGGTTGCTCTTCCTGCTTTAACAGGAGGAAGACTTGAACTGCGTCCGAGACCGGTGGTCAGAAGCTTTGATTAAACGCAGAGAATACCTCGATGAGCAAATTAAAAAAATAATCAATAAGCAAGGTTTGTGGCCATTGCTGTGTATTGTTAAATCTCTCTCTTGTCTGTGTGAAACATACCGGCTACATACTTTTAATAATAATAATTGCTTACACTTATATAGCGCTTTTCTGGACACTCCACTCAAAGCGCTTTACAGGTAATGGGGATCCCCTCCACCACCAATGTGCAGCATCCACCTGGATGATGCGATGGCAGCCATGGTGCGCCAGAATGCTCACCACACATCAGCTATCAGTGGGGAGGAGAGCAGAGTAATGTAGCCAATTCATAGATGGGGATTATTAGGAGGCCATGATTGGTAAGGGCAAATGGGAAATTTGGCCAGGACGCCGGGGTTACACCCCTACTCTTTTCGAGAAACGCCCTGGGATTTTTAATGACGGCAGGACCTTGGTTTTACATCTCATCTGAAGGACGGCGCCCGTTTACAGTATAGTGTCCCCGTCACTATACTGGGGCATTAGGACCCACATAGACCACAGGGTGAGCGCCCCCTGCTGGCCCCACTAACACTCTTCCAGCAGCAACCTTAGTTTTTCCCAGGAGGTCTCCCATCCAGGTACAGGCTCACACCTGCTTAGCTTCAGTGGGTTGCCAGTTGTGAGTTGCAGGGTGATATGGCTGCTGACAATATCACCCTGCAACTTTTAAAGCTTCCAAGAACTTCAAAGTTAAGATTTCTAGCGACATTGTTGATTCTTCTTGGATCCCATTCACACAATATGCACTCATTGTTTAAATTAGCTGCAGAACGCCCGATTCTATACAGCACAGCTCTGCAGTGTGAGATTGATATTGTGCTGTCAGGCTGCAGTATTTCTGTCCTTTCTTCCCATGAGTTTGCTTAATTTGAACTTGAGCGCAAGTCTTTGATTTAAACGTAAGCGTCAGTGGACCGCAGAGAGCGGCAGTCCCGGTCTAGGCCGCGAGGCCTTGCTCGCGCAGCGAGGTGACGGCGGCCTGTGTCCCCCCCCCTCCAGAGAAGGCCGAGGACGACATGGAGAGAGAAGCTCGGCTGGTGGAGCAGTGGGTGCGGCTGACGGAGGAGCAGAACGCCGTGCTGGTGCCCACGCCCGGCAGCGGCATCCCAGGAGCACCGGCGCACTGGTAGGCGGCCGCCACAGGGCGGCTTGGCGCTCCTGTTGTTGCCCCGTAATCTCCTCGGCTGAACCCGAAGGGCTTCCCGGACTGAAGCCCTCTGTTTCAAGCCTGCTGAGGTTCGGGAGAACACACGTTTCTGGCCCCACTCGCAGTAATCTCGTGAGCCTGTCAGGGGTTTTTTCGGGGGGGGATTGAAAAATAGTAGCTGGTAATTCAGCAGAGGCGGCCTCAATTAGTTGGGTAAAGTATTTTTGATCTACGGCTTTCCCTGCCCTCTGGTGGACGTCGGGGGGAAAACTATGAAGGCTATCTAGTCGGAGAAACTTGTCTTTCTTGCCTCATCTGTAAATGACTGTTGTCTGCAGCTGTGCTTCAGCAGCTGTGCATCATAAATGATTAGTTGGGAGCTATTTAAAGAAACGCAAGTCTCAGATCTGGTTATATGTTATAGAAATTCTACTTTTTTTCTAAATTCACTTTCACAAGCACACTCAGCGACTGTGTATTTCAGTGCCAAGTGTCATTGCATCTCGCCCATTTTTATGTGGAGCAGGTATATTGTATCTGAAGAGTATTACTAATATGTAATACTAATATAGCTGTTTGTTGGTTATACTACTTTATTTATGACTTTTATTAATTACAACAAATCTCCTAGTATAAAACCACATGTGGATTTCCACTTATTGTAGATGTAATGCGATGACGCTTCAAATTGTGCCTCTTATTCTAGTGCCTGAAAAGCACAGAGCATGTAATTAAGTTGTTTTAATTGTTTGGAGTCAAGCTGTTTTAATGCAATTCTAGCAGCCAGGGGCTTGAAACCAGTGTTGCAGTTAGGACACATTTGCGCAGGCGGAAATGAAATTTTCTGTTAAAAACTTAAAGGTACAAACTGGAAAAATATGCGTAAGCTCTGAAAATAACATAGCAGCCTTATGTGTTTACTTATTAAACAATAACAAGGCTGCAGCCTTGTGAACGTGTATTTATATGAGTGGTTTCCACACTTCACTGCAAGTGATTTTTGTTTGTCCTAGGACCCCGTCTGCAGGAATGGAAGCTCATATCCCAGTTCTCTTTCTGGACTTGAATGGTAATGTCTAATATCGTCACTCTCCATTGTTCTGTTGCTCGGGACTGGTGAGCTATTTGGCCAGGTCATCAAAGCCTTTTGTCGGGACAGTGGCCAAATCTCATCAGTCGTATTTACTGTTATAGCCCTGACTAATGCAGCCTGGGTGTGCTGACCTACATTTCCATGCATTCATTTTCCTGGGTTTTAACTGTTGGGATTGTCTCAGTTCTTTTGGAGAAAAAAAACAGTGAATGCACTGCCTCTGTCAGTGCTGCCGTTGTTGCCTGAGATATTCTCCTTACCCTTTCTCCGAAAAGGAAGGATGCCTGCGAAGGTGCTGAATAATTTTCTTGTGTGCCAATCCTGCAGCGGACGACCTGACCGTGAATGAGCAGCTGACAGGGCCTCACGCATCGGGGGTCAACTCCATTCTGCCAAAGGAGCACGGTAGCCAGTTCTTCTATCTGCCCATCATCAGGCACAGCAACGAGGAGGTACAAGCACACAGACCTTGAAATACAGAGTGCCATATTGAGACTCAATCCAGTTCCTGCCACCTCATTGTTTTAACATTTGATTCCTCTTATTTAAAATTACCCAGAGACCTCTCTTTCTAGTCTTCATATGGCGCACAGGAGCCGTAGAAAACCAATTGTAATATAATTTGAAAAGCTGAAAGAAACAATTTTATTGGGATGAAATCCCATATCATTTCTGTACATTTTTTGAGCAATGGTAGTGTGCATCAGAAATATTTGATGACAGTTTGGACTTACTGATATGGTAAGGAGTGCCAATCACCTCCTGAAGACTATAGTCTGGGAATCATTTATTTGCTTTCTTCATTATTTCATGCATTTTCCTTGTGTTGTTGTCGATAACCTGTATTATTACTAACATATTGGGAGACGTGCATTTCCTGTGATGTTTACAGTATTGTGCTGTGTTTACATATGTGTTGTTTTTGTGCGCTTCAGTGACATCTGAAAAGATCTTTCTAGAATTAATTTCCTTCATTTTAAGCCCTCAGTATACAACATTGTCAAGTAGTAGCATTGCTGAAATGATTTTCGGCACAACCAAAAAGTCGTAATATTTGCATATTGGAGTTGAAGCATTAAGCCCTTCAAAGAACAAAACTGACAGGATTTCTTGAATTATGTGCGGGATACATTCTTGAAAAAAAAGAAAAACACAGAAATTAAAAATGAATTCCCCATAGGAATGCATGTAAATAGGGAGGAAGTGTTCCAGGTTCAGTCCCAGTCGAATAGATGAGCTCCCAAATAAAAACAATGACACATATTTATTAATGTATGTTGTACTACATTTTGTTTATATTGTTGTACACATTTTTTAACTAAATATTAATTATTGTGTATCGATTTCATCTTAAATGTCAAGGTGAAGTGGCTATTTTCTATCCTTGTACTGTCAGTGAGCATTTTAAATGCCATTTGTGTTCCAAGTTAGGCAACAGTAAATATTTTTGAACTCCAATAAACCAAATTGGTACAAATCAAGAGTGCATCAATTGAGAACAGCCCGTAGTACAATATTAAAAGTGTAAAATCTTGCTTTCGATGTGAGCAGTAAGTCAGTGCTTGAAGTTCTGCCTTTACCAGTCACCATTTCAAACAGTTAATCACCATTTCAAAGTGCATTTAATGCAGTGATATACATTCTTGTCTTTTTCCAGGTGTTAGCGGTTTGCTCCTGGGACTCGTCCATTCATGACTCAGTCCATCTAAACAGAATTACTCCACCGAACGAACGGATATATCTGATAGTAAAAGCAACTGTTCAGCTCAGTCACCCTGCTCCTATGGAGTTAGTCATAAGGAAGAGGATTGCTGTCAACATTTATAACAAGCAGGTGAAGTAAAAATTACACCTTTCTGTATCAAGACAGAGGCAGGTTGTATTATATTGTATTCATTACAAATAACAGATAAATAAAATAAAGGAGATTGTTGGTGACTTTCTTTTCTTTTGAACATAAGCATGTAATTAGTACAGTACATATAAAACTCATCCTCCATGCTGTTATGCAGAAAGCAGCTGTTGTTTACTTGTGGGTGGGGAGTGCTAAGGGCTCTGGACTCTGAACTGGAAGGTTGTGTTCAAATACCAGTGGAAAACCGCTCCAGTATTCTTGAGCAAGGAAGCTCACTCAGATTGCCTCAGTAAAAAAAAAAGTAAAACTGAATAATAAAGAAGAACACTAGGTGGCAATTTGGTAGTAGGTATTTCACTGTATTCAGCTATCCATCAATTGCAATCCGCGAATCTAAGATTTTGTTTTATTGACATCTCTTTTTAATACGGATTTGGAGTAAAAGCGGCATTCTGAGATTATGAAGTGAATTGTTGTTTGTAGCTTGGTATTGGATTCCAAAGAGAACCCTGGAGTCGATGTGAGATTCTTTTTGCAATCTTGGCATTCCACAGATACTAGAATTGCCAGTAGAGGGCCAGGGAAAAATGACCAAAAGGCTGTTAGTCTTTTTCTAGTTCTCTTTCACCATAAAATTCAGTGTTAAATGTTTTTTTTATTACAGAGTTTTACCCAGAGTCTGAAAAGAAGAATGTCTTTGAAGAATGTTCTCTATTCCTGTGGTGTCACTTATGAAATTGTGTCTAACATACCGAAGGTAATTTAATTGTCTTCTGCGACACCGTCACAATGTTGCACTGTGTATCAGATATTATATTAATATTACTTTCTCTCTGCTATGAATATAATAATTACCTTACAGTAACAAATTGAAAGACTCATTGTGAATTAACACTGCAGAATTTGATCAGTGTAGTGCATTGTTACAGTATTTCCATTTTTACTATTTCGCTGTAACAAGTTTGTGATACAGTCCACAAAACTACTGTACTTCCAGTCATTTAGGAGCCTCTAACTGGACAAATAATAACTACAGTATATAACCAAATAGTCAAATAGTAACTGAGCACTTCCAATGCCCCCATATCGGACTCACAGTGCATTTTAACAGGTTGCAGATGTGGATGCATTATCACTTTAAAATGTTTAAAATGTGCAATCATACTAAACCTAATTTGCAAAGAGCTGTGTACATACTGTATAGTACTAATGCCTTTGACTGGGCTTCTACAAAAACAGTACATCTGTAACAATATGGTTGCTGGATAAATGTGGTCAAAGGTAGCTTTATAAATGTAGCTTTTGCTGTATGTACTGTATACTATATAATATTGTAGCTTTCTATTTCATAACCTCTGGTGCCTCACTGCAGTCTCTTCCTCCGCAATGTTGACTTCTACTTAGAACACACAATTTTGAATGGCGCTGTTATTAATGTGCAATCTGCACTATTTTAAAGGGGAACTGCAAAGCTATTTTTATGTTTTGGGGTTATAAAGAATCAGCATTGATGAGTGCATTTTAAACCACAGTAAAAGTAAAATGTACACAGTAACTTGTAAAACCTCCAACTTACATCACAAAATAGACTATAAGTTCCAGGTATGCGTAGCTCCATATACAGCGAATCAAAACAAGGCAACAAAACGTCTGGTGACGTGTTGCAGCCTTATTATATTGTAAACAAGCAGGCTTGTGAATACATCTCTTTTAATCCAATAGAAATATCGCTCTCAATTTCGAGATGGTTTTGCCGACAAATGCTACTTACTTTTTAACTCTGCATGCAGATCATGTTGGAACATTTCTGTGGTGAAATGTCTGCTGCACAACCTGTACTTATTTACTCGTACACCCCATTAAATTAGTCATTACGATGACTAGTGAGCAGGAAGGGACACAATTTGCAATTTGTGGGAAGTCGAATGAAAGTTTGTGACAACAATGGTGACTTATTGTACTTTTTCACTAAAAATTTGAAATTTGTTCATTTTTTCTATAACATCAATTGAATTGATTTTGTTACCGAGATTTAATACCTGGCCTGAGAAATTGGGACTGCAGTTCCCCTTTCAGCTGAAAAGCACAGTCATTTGAAAAGGCCGTCATCAAACTGGTGCAAACCTTAGCACACAAACGCGCACACCCAAGCCCACACGCCGATGTCGTGCTAGGAGGTGGGGCTAGGAGGAGCCAGTAATCCCCTGTTCCCTGCCCGCCCAGGCCTCAGAGGAGACGGAGGACCGGGAGACGCTGGCTCTGATGGCGGCACGAGGAGAGAGCGAGGGCTCGGCAGACGGAGAGACCTACATCGAAAAGTACACGCGCGGCGTGCTGGAGGTGGAGAACATCCTGAGCCTGGAGCGCCTCAGACAGGTCCTGGCAGTACTGCAGCTTCTGTTCCTGCTTTCTGCTTCCTCTTGTGTCTGCTGTTCCATCTCTGTGCAAGTAGAGAGCGAGCAGCTAGTGACAAGTGACCTGACAATTTAAGAACGTCAAATTATTCAGATTCAGCGTGATGCAGTGTGTTCATCGCATGCATCTCTCGTGCTGTATGTAGTGTGTAGTGGCAATGAGACACTTATTTAAATTGCTTTATATTTAGTACAGAGCAGCTTTTCACAAAAAAATGGATTTCTGAAATTGTTACATATTGAGAGTGAAAGTCTTGTTTATAACTCCAAAATGTTTTGTGGATTGTCACCACACCTGTATTACATGAACATCCTAATTCCTTCCATGATAAATTACTACAGCTAGTAAAAAAGATCAAAATAATCTAACGTAAATTCTCATATAAGCTGAAGGAGGCAGTTAATCCTAAACAGTCACTGTTTACAGGGACAACGTTTTGAATGATGGCAATGTATAATGTGGTTTGTTCCTGTACTGGGTATAACAATTGTTCAGTGGCTTTCTGCACATTACAGGACCACAGAATTGTATGTTCAGAGGTCAAAGGGGTGTTTTTCAATAGGAATACTGCCAGTAACACAGAAGTGATTCAACTGAACAGAACAGTTTCTGACAGGAACAATATAACAATATCAAGTATCACAGGATGGCCGCCTAACACATGGAGTTATATGGAGTACTACAGTACTTCTGGTCGGGATCTCTTAAAAGACTGGAGATGGATTGCACATGCAGGCTCCAGCCTCATCATATAAACCACAAACATAAAGCATTTAATGTAATGCTGCATTTGTGCAGCTCTGGTCTTAGTATTCTTACATTTGTGTTATTCCTAGTGGCTGACATTCAGGATAGAATTTTTCTCTGTGGACCCAATCAGACAAAAATCATATAAAGTCTAAAAGGGCAGACAAGTTTATTTTTATTTTAATGGCCAATTAGTTTTTACACACCACTATTTGGAAAGAACCAATTTTTGGAGCTCACAGCAGCAGCAGCTTCCCTGAATTGCACAAGGGAGACAAAGACGGTGATCATACTGCCTGCTCAAAACAGCTGTCCATTCTAATCAGCGTCTTGTGTGCCATCTCTGTGCCGTTGACCCATTCCCACAGAGTGTGCTTTTAGACGTCAGAGGACTAACACAGCTGTCATTGCCAACTCTGCAAGTTGACCAAACACAGCAGCTCACAGTACTCACACTGATGTCTGGACTGTAGAGCCAGCCTGTCCTGTAACCGCTACCTCTACTGGTTGCTCCAAACAGTAAGACAGTAAGCAAGTTTGATAAAATGCTCTGTAATCTTAATATGTCAGCTTAAGACAGAGACTTGAGACTTTCCTATGCTTTATCTCCCACTGCTAACACACTGACAAGTTTCCACCAACGGAAATGCTGTACTGCCAAAGAAGCAAAGATCCCAGAATTTCCCACTGGAGGTCAGACTTGTAATTCAAAAGTCATTCAGTACAGAAATTTAGACCTGTGCTCTACATCTCTGTAGAGCAGCATGTCGATGTATCATCAACAGTGGGAGCTGATGGACTGCTGTTTTGTCTTCATGTAGGCTGTCACAGTCAAAGAAGCACTGTCTGCAAAAGGAAGGCACATCCGGAGGAGCATCAGCACACCCAACGTGCAGCACGTAAGTCTCACAACCTGTAGGTAAAGGAAGCCTTGTGATAAGTGCCTTTTCAAGACTGTTTAATTGATATAATTGATATGTTTTAAGTGGAGAGTTTGGTCCTTCTGATTCATTAACCCTTGACTGAGTTCAGAATCGACCATCACTCTTCCCAGTTGTCCAGAAACATGTAATTGAATTGACCCTAAAAAGTAACAATAGCAAAAACAGAAATTATTTTATCAATTCCTGGCCTGTCAGTGAATTTTGTTTCCTTTGATGCGAGAGTGATAAAATGATCTGTTTGGCTTGGCTTTGACCTCCCTGGTGTCTGTGTGCAGGTGTCCTGTGGGAGATCTGACCTCACTGAGGATGATGACTTTAAGGTAGGAAAGCTGCTAAAATTCTGAGAAGAGGGGCAGGTAAGTGAAAGACAACCAGAGGCGTGGATTTCCATGGCAAACTGTGATGCCATTCAGTTCCAGAGAAGCCTTGGGCCTGAGGCTTTTATAAGTTCAGCAAATTCCAAACGGCACCAGAGACTCAGGAACAGTGCTAATTTGTAGTTGATGTCAATTAATAATAATTAGTAAATCATTAATAGCTTGGATGGACTGAATATCCCATGTCTGTCAGAGACGAAGAGTCTTAAAACATTCTGTGTTGGCTGTCTGCTACGGGCTGCACTGCCGTCACTGGAGCAGGAATATTACTCTCATAATCTTTTTTCTTCTGTCATTCACCGGACAGCCAGGTGTGACTACAAGTTCTTGCTGGCCCTCAGAAAGTATATCCCCTGTATATCACTCAAGACTACATTTTTGAAGTGAGCTCACCTCATACTGCCACTAATATTAATTAATATTGTTACATTACTTTTTATAAGGCATACTTAACTGAGCAGTTCAATTTTATATTGAGCTTTTCAAATTTTGTTTGTAAGGAAACATGAGGTACAAGTAATGTATAGTCAAGATCTCTGTCGAATTTCTTTCTGCTCATTTCACTTTTACATCGTTAGCAGCAGTAAAGCTGAAGCAGCCCCTTCTGCAGTGAACATGTTTTGGAGATGACCCTTCATCTTCCCAATTGCTTTCCTCTATCACAGGGCCACTCAGAAAGCCATCTGGATATTTCAGACTGCTTGTCCAGTTATCAGGACATATCTCTTTATGGAACTCTCCCCAAGGACTCACCCCTCAAAAGTAAAGAAAATCACGGTAAGTGCCCATGAAATTAACCTTTCCAGAGCTATTGTACCTTGTGTAGCGAGTTGCCTTGTGTAGCAGATGCTTCAGCTGAAAGCATTCGCACACAACAAAAATCCATTTCACATAGGCCCTTTGTGCGTCTGACATTGAACTGCACGGGCTGCGTGGTGCTTTGCATTATAAGCATTCCCCATTAGTGCAGAAGGGCACACGCTGCATCAGAACACTCCTCCGCAAGCTGCTTTGCAGAGCTCTGGGACAGTGTTTTATCTGGAAAGCTCTCAAATCACATGGATCATGAAGGGATGGAAATCCACACTGGGCTGCAGGCTCGTATTTCCTTGTTGAAAGCTGCTGCTTGATTTATACGGATAGTTCTGCATCATACAGTACAGCATGTGTCAGCTCCAGACCCAATTGTTTGCATCACTATTTGGCCTCTTTCCAAAATTAGCTTGTAGATCATTCGATTGCTCTAATCAGGAAGAAGAAGAATTCCATGTGCTTGTGTAAGGCTTTTCATCCCAAAGGAACCCAAAGCTGGGGTGACACGCAGCACCCCAGCTACTTAGCAGATGCAGCAGATAAGTTACTTTACCTCCTGGAATTTAGGAAGGCAAGATTGTGCAGCCCAAAGTGAAATAAAGGGTTAAGGCTCTTTTCTTGCAAACAGTGCCATGGGATCTTTGATGTCCCACCACACTGGGTGTGGAGCTTTTGGTCCAGGTGGATAAGTGCCACCTACTGTACTGGTCCAGCAACACTACTTGCAGCATGGACCTGGTTTTCCTTGGAGGTTTCCCATCCCAGTCTATGACAAGATCAGACTAGCTGATCTGAACCCATTTCATGTTTCCCACAGTTGATATTTTTAAAGTCACAATCCTACAGCAGTGCCTATAAAAGTCGTGGAAAGAATCCAGTTATCCTGTTGTCCAGTTAGGGAAATAATTGTTGTCCCATTTAAGTATTTAAGAGCTCAAATGGAAAATAAAACTCCATCCAATCCATTTCATTTTTGCTGGAAAATGTCTTGAAATAAAATTTCACATTGTATACTTTAGTTTTTCAGTTTTATGTCAGATAACATTTATTATTATACTAAATTGTTTTTATTTCCCTAAATGGTTCTAAGGCTGTGGAATATTTTCTGAAAGTCACTATTAAAATAGTCAAAAGTCGTTGTAACCTAAAGAGAACATCTACAAATTTTCCATCTGCCTTGTTTAGGGTTTTTTCGCTTAGATATTAATTCATGGAAGAAAATGGGGAAAAAATAAATAAGTGCTTTACTGATTGTACAGTATTTCTCTATATTTTCATAAAACTTGTCTTAGTTCTTTTGAAGGAGAAACTTTCATTGCTTGTTTTTCTCAGGTTGTGTACCAGAAGCTCCCCTTTTCTTTAATGCAAGTCCGTTTAAAGCATTATCACCTCAGCCACCCAAATTCCTAAAGTCGTTAATGCCTGTCAAAGAAGAGCACAAAGTAAAGCATTCCCTGGAATCAAGACCTCTCCTTGGACAAGAGGTAACACACTGATCCCCCCAGACAGTCTCTCTGCACAGAGAGAGACCCCGTTTATACTGCATTACTGATAGTCACAGCCAGGAGAAGGTACTTTCCAAAATACTGAGCACCCATTTTCAAAAGCAGGAACCTCCTACTACCCTTTGTATTGTTGCTATTGTTAATTTTGGCATTAAAGGTATTAACTTTCTCCCTCAGTCCATGACGGCACTCAAAAATTAGTATGTTTGAAATGTGCAGCAAGTGTGAACTGTGCACTGTCAAGTGCAACAGCCTAGTCCAGAGGGAACTGCTGATGACCTGAAGCAAGCTAATAAATTTAATTGGTTGCAGGTGCATGTGAATTACCTCATATATCAAGAATAGTTAGTGCTCTTGAATGTATCCAGATGGAAATGTAGGAATAGGAATTGGGTTAAGAAATTTGCTTCCTTTATTTAGATATAAAAATCATTTTGAATATCCCTAAAACATTCTAGAGGCTCTACAGAAGCCAGCTGTTTCTCTTCCGCTATCTTATTTTGGCTAAGGAAAATGATGTTTCCACTTGGATGCAGTGTAAATGCATCACCTCGCTAGAGATGTCACATTGCCCTTCCCATCCTGTTCCAGCCAGCCCAAGATTTACCAATGTGTTCTGCCTGAGCCTTGGCATGAATATGTACTGTGCTGTCACATGGGAATGGCGGAGTAGTGTTTTTTGTGTTGTGCATGCCTATCTCGCCATTCGCTTTTTAACTGCATGTCTCAAGTGTTTTGAATTAACCTGCCCATTGCCTTGTTTGTGTGACGTTTTGCTTGTTGTGTGTCTCAACCATTGCAGAGCATGCCTCCATCTCAGGATAGTTCTAAGCTGGCTCACAGCCCTGACAGTGTTGTGTCCTCAGGATGTATTGCCAGCAGCATGCAACTAGATCACTATAACACACAAGGAGCTAAGATTGTAAGTCCCACATTTACTGTCATGCTACCAGCTAGTGGGTATAAGGAGGGCTTGCTCATATGCAGTGTCTTGAGAAAGCTGGCGTGGTAAATAAATGTTCACATTTTAATAGTGCCATGACAACAATGGGATACAAATAATGTTACCTAGATTCTCTTCTGAAAGGCAGAAGTTTAATTCTGCTGCTACTGTTTTTATATTTGTATATTTTTTTGTGAAAAAGAAAATGAGTAAAGGAGAGCTTTCATTGGAGCAACACTTGTGTCAGTCATGTAACACATATAAATAAAACCCTTGATCTGAATGCTGTTAATAATTTGTATAGCTTAAAATGAAAAGCACAAAATTGAATTTGTTGAAGACCAAAATTAAGATTTAAATTAATATTAATTTTGATAGGTACTCCTAAAGTTGAGTAAAAATTTAGGGTCAATGCCACATCACTGAAAATTGCTGAAAACTTAGTGACACTGGAAAGTCTAAAGATGATCAGAAAATGTTTTTTTTCTTCTTAGGTGCAGCCTACATATACTGTAGGAACTGTACTAAATAATTTTGGGCCTCTTGGCAGCCAATAGTGTCCCCAGTCCTATACTGTATGTGTATGTGCGTTATAAATAAAAACGACCATTATTATCAACCTCATCCCATTCTTCCAGAAGAATTGCCTTTGTCACCATTGTTTTGATGGAGATTAAGACGTGGAATCCAACTGCACAATCTGCAGGTTCTGCCCATTTGTAATAGCACTCAGATCTGAGAATTGGTCTGGCCTGGATAGGCAATGGAAATCTTCCTCTTGTGTTCCTTTAGCCAGTCTCTCATTGCCCGACACCAGGATAATGTGTTCATTTGACTGATATTGTACCTATTATTATGGCTTTTGGATGTAAATGTGGGAATTTCTAATAAACAACAGGCCTCAGGGCAATAAAAGTTTAAAAACCGTCATTAGGCTTTGTAGACTTTTATTTTTCTGCATCGAAAGTTCAGCCCTCACTAACTGAGGAGGATATGTTTATGAAGTAGCTTATGTGATGAATCTTCCAGGTATTTTCTAGACCTGCGGCGCAGAGCCTTTTATTTATGCTCAAAGGCATAGGCAACAGTTCTGGGCCTAAGAAAATGCGTCAGCCTTCTTGACAAAAATCCAAAGATTTTACATGTTCTTATTGAAAATAAGTATACAAGGGGCTACAAATGCCTTTTATAAATTAATTATTTTATCATCAGTGGTCTAAAATGGTGAAAACAATTTAACATATTATCCGAATATCTCTCCAAGTTTCTTAAGTTATTCTTCATTCTGTTAAACTGTATTTCTTTGTTTCATCAACCTTTAGGATTCTGAAGAAGACGATACTGATTCGGACAGCGTGAGTAAGCCCGGTGTGGGCTCTCATGGTCTCCAGAGTTTACAGCCTTACATTCCTGAAGAATTTGCAGACTTTGATGTTTACAATGCCAGCCTGGAGAGCAGGGACTTGTTTTCTTCCAAATCTGAGCTGACCAGCTGTCGAGTTTTAGAAAAAGAAGTCTCCCGCAGCCCCACTGCCAGTAGCATGACCAGCGGCTACTTCTCCCACAGTGCCTCTAACGCCACTCTGTCTGATGTGCTCTTCGCTGGCAGTGACAGTACTGACCAGCTGGCCAATCAGAACAGAGACACTGAGTCCTGTGACCCCTCACATCTGGAGAGGAGGCTCTCCTTCAGCCCGGACCAGCTGGAGCACGTTGAGGAAGCCCCACAACATGCAGCAAAATATTCAGTTGAAACTAAAAGTGCCTTTGAAAATGAGTCATTTGCATGCAAGGAGGTTGCTGAACCCAAAAGTAGGACTCCCTCCAGAACTGCAACCATTTTCTCCTCATGCTCGCTAAATTGTCAGGACAGTAGATCAGCCTCTGCAACACAAGCTTCTGATGTTGTGCCAGATTCATCATCGAACGAAAATGCTCTGTGTCTCTCCAGTCAAGAGTTTACAGACTTCAAAGGCGCAGATGATGAGAAGGACATTGGGCAGTTTATTGACGAGCAGTGTGAAGAAAAAGGCTTTTTGGCAGGTCAGAAAGAACTGGATCAAATCTCTAAGTGTGGTGCTATTAACCAAATCCATAGCCCAATGCAAAATGGCCGACAGTCACTGTGTGCCCCTGTCGAGGCCTTGCAGAGCACACAAAGGATGACCGATTACATGTGCCTGACAAACTCGAGTGAAGAACTGACTGCTGGGGTGTCTGTGGAATCGGGTGGAGACTCTACCCCTCCAGCTACAGACACATCCATGAACAAGAATCATATGGACTCCTCAAGCAGTGATGAGGGTCCTCCTTTAAGACACTCTCCTGAGTGGATGGCACCAGGCGAACATGTGTGTATTGGAAATAAAACTGGGACTATTCACTATGTTGGTGCTGTGGATTTTGCAGAGGGAGTCTGGGTTGGAGTGGAGCTTGACCTTCCAGCTGGTAAGTGGTTTTGATGCTGAGGAACAATTAAGGACAGTTAAACACATACTTGTTGATTAGTATCACCAGGACAGAAGTGCTCATATTTACAGTAATATGAAAAAGAAAATACACACTCTAAGGATTATTTTGCAGCACCTTATTCTAATTGCCTTTTTAACTCATATGGAAGCAGTAAGGGTGCACTTACGTTTTCACACAAGGCTTCTGAATATTGACTGATTATTTGCTTGATAAAAAACAACAAAGTAAACTTTGTGCGTTATCCCTCACATGATTTGAGATTTATCTACTGCTAGGAGTTGTTGAGAACTAGATGCATATATGTCTTAATATATAAAACCATAGAATCGTAAGGGGGTGTTCTTTCTTTTTTACATCACTTTACATACAGTCATAGACGTACTACAACGTATACAGTGGTCATTTATTCTGAGATACAGAAGGATCTTGTATCTGCTGTATTATGCTAAGGTGTTGATGCTGACACAGTTCCTTCTTCCCATCAGCTTATAACGTTTATTATTGTAAATGAGCAGGAGACCGTAAATTGTCATTTGTATAACTTGTTTTCACTGGTAGAGAAAAATGTTAGCTCTTATGTTGATGTGGCTCTTGAGCTGCATGCTTATTTCAAAGTCTTGTTTGGCACACCACGTGTTGTAAAACTATCACTTATGTTTAAAAGTGGTCTAAATATTTGTGGACAGAGAGGGACTGAAGTTCTTAAATTAAAAAGGAAGTTCTTCTTACTCTGAGACGAGCCATCGCCACTGAGGCGGAGAAAGAAAGTTTGCGTTGTGAAATATCTATCCTGTGGATGTAAATGTTTTTATTTGTTGTGTTTACAGGCAAACACGACGGCACTGTCCATGGGCGGGAGTATTTCCGCTGCCTCCCGGGACACGGCGTGTTTGTGAAGCCCACCCGCCTCTCTCCAGCCCCCCACAAGGTCAAAGCGCAGGACAGCGTACCCAGGTCCCAGTCGGCCGCCAGCACCAGCAGGAAACGGAGAGGCGTCGCCACCCCCCCGAAGACGCAAGAACACCGCCGCTCGTGGGTCAGCTGATCCTCGGCTTTTGCTCTTGCTACGCGACCTGCTGCGTAGAGAAACAGTGTTTGGTTGTGTATATTGGAACCTGATTTGTATATTCGGAAAGGTGACTGAATGGTTTCTGCTGGGTCGTGACTTTGTCCTTTTATTAGACACCAGCTAACAGCTAGTAGTTGGTGCACATTATACAGATACACATGTACTTAGTTTAAAGCCCACATTTTATAACTTTGACATGCTGTATTAATTCTGAATTACTTCATTGGAGACGCCTATTCACTCAGACAAGCTTACCTCCTGAGAGAATGTGGGTTTTCTGTTAGAAACTAGACCACTGTTAAAATTGTCTGTTTTCCTAACTCCTTGTCTGTATGATTTTAAATGTTGTGAATTGCCAAAGAACCCATTATATCTGCTGTCCATACCCTAGTTTGTTTGTTTTTTTAAAGGGAAAGCTCTGTGCCATATTTCCCTTGATGGCTAGGTATTGTAATGCCTTTTGCTTCTCTGTGTTTCACAAAACACTCTTCCATGACGTCTGTCTTCCAAAAGGCCCCTACTGTGTTGACTAGGTTTTTACTGGAATCCGTACAAACTCAATCACCATGCATCATCCAGTGCCTCAAGGCATTTAAAACACTAACATTCAAGTCTGTCTGCCAGGTAGATACAGGACTGAGAAAAGTGTTACTGCTACAAAGAGAGCTTCAGTTTTGTTGTGTTTTGGAACAAGTACAATTTCCATTATGTAATGGTACTTAGACTCTCCTAATTTAAACTTTTATGTGGAATGGTAGGGTTGGACAATGATGGGGAAACAAAAAAAATGTATGTATCATAGTTTTATATACTTGGATGATAGTGGGTCTTGTGTGCTCTGCTTGAAAAGTATTGCTAAAAGTATTTTTAAACAGATTTCATCACGAGGAGCTGCAAAAACAAACGGTCTACTGTAATTTCAAGTAAAAACCCAGGACCTTATTTTAAAAAAGCTGCTCTCCCCGAATCGATGGTGTAAATAGCCCCCTGTTTGGACATAGTGTTTACTACACTGTACTGTACAGAATTGTAATTTATATTGTATTTCACCAACTCTATTTAATTGGTACAGAAGTGTTTTAGAATACAGAATGTTTACAATGTAAATACTTTTCTTGTCTTTTTTTCTTCATTCCAAGATAGTCATGAGCATTGTCAAGTTCTCTATCTGGTACATTACTCAAGGGTCATCACTTATTTTAAGCAGTCATTATGTCAGAAGCCAGTTCATCTTGGCATTCATAAGATATTTCTGAAAGGTAGATGTGTCAACTGCAAAGGAGCAGGTAAAGGTTTATTCCATGCTTAAAGGAAAAGAAAAGAGATGCAATGTTTCAGCTATGTTGCCTTCTTCAGGATTTTGACCACATCTGAAATGTTGTCTCTTTTCCTTTCAGCGTGGAATAAACGTTTACCTATTCCTGAGACATTTTCATTTGTTTTAAATATATGCACTGAAGTATAATTTACAGCACAGCAAAAAAGAGCTGTTAAAATGACTAAGAATCGGCACTATGGCTTGAGCAATGCCTGTTAAACACTGGGCTCTCCCTGCTAGCTGCTGACTTCTTTCAGAAGAACTGTGATATTTCAATCTATCGCCTGCCACCGCTATGTAACAAATAGCTTATCTGTTCAACACCAACTTCCTCACAAAATAAGATAAAAGGGATTTTTTGTGAAAAATAATACTGGTTCTTTATGAGAGTATCACCATATAAAGCAATATCTTAGGACTCAAAACCATGCTTTTAATTACCATGCTTTTAATTACCAAGTAAAGTCATTTAGTGCTGTCACAGTGCTTTTAGTGCTTTTGAGAATAAAGAAGATACATCACTGTGTTGAACCACAGAGTATCTAAACCTGTACTTTTAATTTGCCCATTCAGGATTAAATGAAAGTCCAGAAAGTTAGCCAAGAACCTGCACAATTCTCAAGTTGGACTGCACCTGGAGTCCTATGTTGATTTCCAGGAGGGTTCTGAATAAAGCCTTAGGTGATTTAGTTGCATTGTAAAAATTCTTAACTTAAAACTCTGGTTGTATGACAAAGCTTCATCCTTATATTCTTAATACTGCTGTTACAATTGTTGTATTCCGGAGCAAGCCAACTAGCCATATTGTAGAAGCTGGTACCCTGGTTCCTTTTAAGAAACAGCTGTATGAGATCCCTGGATCAATTAACTACAAACTACCAAATGGATCAGATGGGTCAGATGGCTTCCTCTCTTTTGTAACCTTTCTTATGTACAGTAGAAAGCAAAACATTTTTTTTAAGTTTCACCCACTAAAGGCTCATGCATAAAATACAATTACCCCCTTCTGTCTGGACAATTGTATTGAGAATCCTGCAGTCTGACACATATTATATTGTTATACTGTAAGAAATATTTGAAAGAAAAAATCACTGTCATTACCAAACTTCTCAAACACATCGATCGGTAGTGTCTTTCTTAGTGTACTTCTTCTTGTGAATCAGAGTGACAGTTCAGTAATGGCTGTGTGAATCGGCTTTTCAGATTATTCTGGATGTCTATAGGTTTTTATTACTTATTACTTAGCTCTTCCGTTAAAGGCCGTCTGAAGAGCATCTCCCAAAAAGGCAGTTCATGAAAAGGTTTGTAAGAAAACATACAGTATGCTTAAATGGCTTATGGCCACTTCCTAAAGGCTGAATATCTTCACTGACATCAGATATGTCATTTACTGTATAATTGTGTGTGCTTTCTCTGAAGCTCTGTGTACAACACCAGTCTGCAGTCTTGCCAATATAACCCTGAACTCTTTACATCACGGATTCAGATCCGTGATCTGTAACTCTAGCTGAAACCAAAGGTTTTTAGGACTGTTTTCTCACTCGGTTCAAGTAACAAGGCTCACTGGCATAGAGGCTGTTCCAGAGGATGACTTCATTACCTTTGAATGTAAAATCGCTCTAAAGTACTACAAGGACATTAAAAAGGATATTTACATACTGTATAAAAACATAGATCCTTTCATGCAGACTGTAACTTCCTAGATCTCACTATTACTGCCTCATATGTATTTGTGCCATCTTCCTATGTGGACTCTTCTGCACAAAATTATATTAAATTTCACTTGATGTTTTTCTGGCATTGGGGCTTTTAAATTCCTGCCAAAGGACAGAAACAGAGGTCTTTGTGGCCATGACTGTGGCAGACACAATAGTGTGTGTATATATTACAGGACTGGGAAGGACCTCAATCCTGACTGTACTGGTATGTTCCCTGAAATGGTTGGCCAGTGTAAATGGAAGGAAACTTTGTTCGGGAAAGATCACTCTAATCCACAGATCTCTTCACAATCCGTGCTAGACACTTTGTGATGGACCAGAAGACACTGTATTGCCAGTAAATTCATATCCACTCCAGATCACCCAGAGGGCATTGTGCCTGTCCTGCAATTCCATCCACTGCATTTCTTGCGGAAAGCGTCCTACACTATCACATTTGAGAATCAAGACGAATGCCCTTCACAGTAATTCAAAGCGGTTATTTCAGTTGCCATATTTCTGGCTATCACACACCCAGTGGAGTTTACCTGCCCCAGTTTAGGGGGCAAGAGTAGATGTGGGAGACTGCAACTGGGTTGCTTTCTTGCCTGGTTTAAGAGCAACTTGCAGGCAAGGCCAGCTTGGAAGGTATCTGAGAATGGCCAGCACCTGCATGGAAGGCATTCAGGAGCTATTCAGGGTTCTTGTACTGTATTTACAGAGTCAGAGAGTACAAGTTGTACTCCAGCTCCCCAGGGGAGTTAAAATAAAATATATGCTGATTTTTTACCTCTGGTGTGTTGACTGTGCTTGGGTGATGTCACAATTCCTCCGGAGATTTTATTCTTTATTCAGGCAAAGTACACTGAATTCTCACCGTCATCAACTACATAGTATGAGGAAGTAATAAAAAAAGGACAAAAGAATGCTTGGGCATAGCATTGAGATTGCAAAGGTTAAATCAAGTGTAAGTAACGTTTAAGTTATAAATTAGATTGCTTTTACATGGAATAGTTTAAACCTTTTGTCAGCATGCTAAAAAATTCATTTAGAGGTGAGCACTGACAAAATTAGTGTTTCTAGCCTGGAACATGGGAATTGAATTGAGGTTCTCAGAATAGCAAACACCTTCACTCAATCAACTCAATTTAAAGTACAGGTAACAAATTGTGTCACTCGTAAAATTCTAGCAGTAAAACCTATGTGCTCAAACGTCGTCAAGATAGAAAGATCTGAACAGGTCGGTGTACCCAAATTCCTTTTTGTACGTTTCAAAGACGTGTCTATAAATGGTAATATTCCGTGTGTACGTAAGTTAAATGTGATTAATAAAAAATACATCTTGACGAATGTATGATTTTATCCGACGCATTCAGCTTTTTTATTTAAAAAAAATGAAGTTAACTCTTCCACGAGGCGTACCAGAAAACAGAACTTCAGGTCCCACAAACCCTTGGCGTACGCCTCGCCCGCGATGCATGTCGGTATAGCGGCGGGCCAGGCTTCTCGGAGGCTGACGGGAGAAGAGTATCCGATACCGAGCGGTGAGCTGTTGTGAGTAAACCATGGCGGCTGCAGGAGGAGGGAAAATCAGAACTAGGAGGTACCACATCGCTTCGAAACCTTACGCCAAAGGCAAACAGGTAAATTGAACTCTGCTTTGTGGCTAAAAGAAAACGGCGGTGTCTTGCTCGCTGGTGGTAGTCAGGTGTTGTGTGTTTGTAACGGCGTCTTGCGGCCTGGTCTGCCCCATCCTCGGAGGCCTGCGCTCTCTGGTACCTGGTGTCTGCGGCCTACTGGGCGCGCAGGCAGGCTGGACACATCGGGGAGGTCGGGGAAATAAGGCAGCCCGGGAGCACACTGCGAGTAGCGGTGGCGTGAAGAGGCAGTCGGGGTGCATTATTGGATTGTCATTAAGCGGTACTTAAACTTTGCATCATTTTGCGATTTTACTGGTATTCTCTTCGCTGATTTTTTTTTTGTTTATTTACTTTTTTTTTCGGGCGCTAAAAATGTAACGTGCGTCCACCCTGGAGCGAGTCCAGGCCCCGCATGTTGCTTTAAGACTGTAACTCTTGCCGGAGTGGCGTGCACACACTCGCCAGGTGGAAACAGGGGAAAGCCCCGATAATTTCGCTTCGCGGAATTAATCCTTGAGACCGCCGAGTTCCGTCCTTTTAGACGGCGAGTCAGGGTGATCGGTGCGCTCCTGTGCTCCGAGCATGTGGCTCCGGATCTCGCAGTGCAGTGATTGCGATCACGTCGTAAGCGGGCAGATCGCCGAAATTTTGCGGCATTCGATGTTCGAACGCCAGCGGGATAAGTATATTGTATTCCTAAACCTTTGCACTTCCCAATGTGAGGTTTAAAGTGTAATCTCCGTTATTGAGGAGTATGCGCTAACCAACCCAATTAAAAGTGGTTTATTCGTGGGGTGCTGTATTTTATTCTAAGTTTCGTCTCTCTTTAAATATCATGTCCGGGCACCCAAAAAGCTTGAAAAAGAACGCCCCCCACCTTTTAAAACCATTCGAGTATAACAATGTTGTTATATTATATATGTTATATATTTAACTTTTTTCAATTCCATTTAAATCACTCCAAATTCTGGACATGTGGATTCTGTCAAGAAGAACCCGAGTGTAGGTTTGTATTAGATGAAGTCATTCCACAGGCTTGAGCTGTGAGTTTTTAGTCACACTGAAGCATCTTGCTGTTAACTTGCAACCTTTGTTTCAAACTTTATCACGCAATTTAGGATTTCACCAAGGAGAACTGTAGTAGCTAACCCAATCATTAAAAAATACAGCTGGTTAACAGATTTGCTACTGTTTGGGGATTTTTTGTGCTGTTTTTTTATCTTAGATCTGTCATGATGGCATATTATGACAGATCTAAGAACATCACTCATGATGCAGGTACAAAAATTGGTTTAAATAGGCCAAGTTCATGAAAAGTTAAATTATGCAAGACTGGGCCTGTTACATAATATGCCAGTTCATCTCCTGAATGCTTCTGTCTTAGGAATGAGGTTTAATTTTTTTTTTAAATGCGCCTTAAGTTGCAGGATATTTTTTCTTCTTGTCTGTCCTGGTCTTTCGAAGCGCTTTCACTGTGCCGAAAGTTGTCCAAAATACGGGGAAGGAAAATGTGTAGTGAAAGAAAACTGAACTATCAGTTCATCTAGTATCAGAAAGCTGTTTGTTCCTAGCGAGGGTCACAAGGTGAGACTCGCTCTGGATGGTATGTTGCAGGAAAGACGGACATAGGGACAATGAGAGAGTCAGTTATCCTGACCAGCGTGTCTTCGAGGAAACTGGAGCACATGGAGAAGACTCGTATAGAATCAGGGAGAAGACATATACCACACAGAGGGCACGTTCTAATTTAAACTGGTGTGGCCAGCCAATGAGGCAGTACATCTTTTTTTAGTGTTTTTAATGTTTCTTTATTAGCCCTATACAATTTCTTGCATTAGGAATTCGCCTTTTCGCATACCCCGGCTTTTCTCCATGGAAACACAGACAGGGAGAGAAGCTGCCATTGTACGGCGCCCCTGGAGCAGTTAGGGTTTAGGGCCTTGCTCAGGGGCCCAACGAAGTAGGGGCCCATTCCTCTGCCGGCCGCGGGGATTTGAACCGGCAACCTTCCAGTCACAGGCGCAGATCCTTAGCCACAGAGCCACCGCTCCGCCCCTGCATTTTGCATCTGTATCTGTATCTGCATCTGCATCGCCCCTTCCATCTGCAATGGAAGCTTTGGATCGGGTTGCATAGTTTTTTGGGACTCCCATCATTTATACACGGCTTAAATGCCACATACCCATCATTCAGGAAAACTAATAGTCACATCAGGATGAACCTGCCAGAAAGGCTGGGAAGTGAGGTTTTCCGTGTGCCATGCAGTCCGAATACTCTGTGTTGCTATGAGTTCTGTAGTAACTAGACACTCCTGCACAGATTCTCCAAATGTGATCATTTAACTAGAGAACATTTTGAAGAGGGCAACAAATCCATATGCATCTGAATTTTGTTTTCCTCTGTTGTGTTGTCTTTTAAGTTCTGTATTTTTTTAAAGGTGCCAGACAACTGAAATATCAGGCAGCTATTTGTAAATTTAAGTTATAAATTGTCCCCTTCACCAAGTTAACATCTCTTTGAAAACGCATCCCAAATCAGCTCTTATCATTTACTCCTAATTATTCTTTTTTATCAAGCAGAGGGCTGAGTAACCGAATTTGGACAGCTCAATATGTACTCTTGAATTTCAGGTTAGAAATGTGGTATAGGGTTATCGTCAAAGAATTGGTGATAGTTAAGGTTAAAGTTGTGATAAGAGTGTGGATATGTCAGGATTCATTTTTTAGTGTAAGTGTAAGGTACACGTACAGGTTGTTTTATTCCAACTTTTTGTCTCAACCCAGGTTTTGAGTATGTAATGAGCTTTCCAGAGGTTCATATCAGCATCTGCATCATCTGACAGCTTTTGTGCTTGCATTCATTAAGATATCTGCATCAGGGCCACACAGTTTTAATAATCTACTCATTGCACTTGCACTTAATACATAGCTCAGAACCAGCTGAGTCAGGAATGTACTTTCTTACAGGTCAAGTTGTCACGCTGTCTGGCATTAGTACAGTTCTGTTATCATGAAGGAGGGATATTTTTTTTTAAATGAGCGTCATTATTCATGGTACCCAAACGAAACATTTTTTTTTTCTATCATTCAGTTGTGAACCAAAAATTAAGGTAAAACTAGTTTTGATTATGTATTTCTTAATGAAGTATAAATAAAAGATTTACAGCTGAAGAACAATAATTCATTGTTTACCAGTGTCGGTTATTGATCAAATCCAAAGTTTTCTTTTAAAAACATGTCTTTTAAGTGTTGTTGCCTTTTTAGAAATTGTAAAATAGCTCAGAGTCTCTTTATTGAGATGCCAACATGATTATAAGCTTTTTTCATTCTCTGGCATTACCTCCCAAACATTTGTCTTGAGTTAAATTCACAAGAGTTAATTTGGCAGCATTATGGAAGGGCTGCCAATGCACATTTTGGACAAAACCCTAGTTCTTATTTTTTCTGGTTATTATTTTCCATTCATAACATGGAGCGTATATAAACTTTTTCGTTGAAGGAAGCTATCATTTTCAAAGTGTCCCTTTTTTGTGGTGTACTGCTATTTTATCGGCCGAAAGGGTTACTGAGCTGATTTCAGCTAGTACGGTTGGGATTTGGGAATATGCTGTAGAAGCTTTCATTCCTGTTCAGTTTGTGGGGTGAATTTTTGGTTCAAATTAGTGGTTATTTTAATTGAGGGGATTTAAAAACCTCTCTGAGATTGTGGGTGTGATGCATTGTCTTTCCCCTAGGTCCTGAGAGCAGGCAGACTCAGGTCTGAAACGCACAGCTGACCCAGATTCCTAACTGCATGTTTGTTTGGAAGTTTGTTCAGACTCTTTTCTAGCTGAACCCTTGGCGTTTTGACAGTGCCCTCTTGTGCCCCAACGTGCTTGAATTTACTGGGTTGGAACAGTTTCTTCAATGACATTTTTTAAAACTAAGGCCATGCAGTTGCTTTAGTGAAAGACTTTACAGGCTCATGAAAACATACATTTTAGTACAGCTGCCATTAAGACAAAGCTAAGGCAGTGCTAGCAGTCTGTGACAATGTGACAAGCGTTTTTTATTTGAATATTCAATCTTTCTAAAAAAGCAGGCACCCTTGGTGCTCTCAGCAATACTTCTTTGCAGATGCGTGACTGTGGGGGGTGTTTGTATTTTCTCACGCCACAGCTTCCGTCCTGCTCCTGTATACAAACATCTTAGGCAGGGTTATCAAATGTATCATTTTTTGTTAGTCAAAATGTTAATTCAGAATTCAAATATTTTTCCTCAGCACTAAACTGAAATCCAGATGTATCTTTAGATGCTTCTGCAGCAAAAACACTAGCAAAGGGGTTTTGCTAGAAAAGTTTAGAACGAACCACTGTTTTTTGCCGATATTCCTTTTTTCTTAAAAACGTTCTTTAGACGTACTCAGGTAAATGTGGCCGTGTGCTAGTCAGTCTTTTTAGTGGCCGTTAAAATGGTTAAAAATATTTGATAGATGCCTTTGTCTAACTTTTACACATACCTATTTATGTTCTATGTACAGTTTTAGTAGATACTTGTGTTTTTTTGTTGCCACTTTTTCTTTAAAACATTCTCTCAGTAGTCTTTCTGAACTTCTTCATGTTTCAATTGACATGATTTTTTTCACACTGATAGTTTCATGAATGGTCTGAATATATTATGTTTTATTTCAATCCCATCTCGATACCTGGCTTTATTTTATGTTGCAGCACTTAGCACAGTATGTGCTGAATCTTATGATAGCAAAAGCTCCTTTATGGAATGTATGTGACGGTGTAGCTGTAAGCAGAGTAAAAGCCAGTGTACAACTTACTTAGAGCCCCGTCAATGATCTCCAGGTCCAGGGCTCTAGATGCTACTGCATACTGCTGCTACTCACAATAGGCTCCCTGCAAGCTAGGCAAGTGTATTTTCACTTGCATGGAGCTGAGGCAGTTATTGGCATTTGAAAGTGAGTTTGTAACCCTTTAACTTTTTGGACCTTCAAAGGTCAAAGTGTCAACCGACAAGTTTTTTACTGTTTGAAGAGTAAAACTGCATTATAATGTACAAAGGTTGTTGAAAATAAATTGGGACATTGTATATGGCTTTCCAATATGGGAATCTTGAAATTCTCCACCTATTAGAGAATAAAGTTTATAGGTATTATAGCTCAGGATCCCTCTGTGCTTTTGGCATAATGCTGTGGCTACTCCGTGTGTTCCTATACGTGTTATTTCTGAGGCAATTCTGATAGGCAGATTACTGAGCATTTGTGGATGCTGTGTTTTATGGTTAATCGTTTTCTTCACATCCTTATTTGTCTGATTCATTCCTTGGTTTAATCCATTCCTTTCTTGAGGCTCTTTTTATGCAGTCTTGCTGAGCCGTCCCTCCTTATTTCTCTCCTGTACAGCAGCAAGGTATTATAAGCAGAGTGACTGACACTGTGAAGAGCATCGTCCCAGGCTGGCTGCAGAAGTACTTCAAGAATGGTGAGCCGAGGGACACGGAGACGGAGGAGGTCAGGGAAGGGGCAGATGAGCAGGAGACTCACAGGAGCAGCCGAGATCCCAGCGATGAGGAGGACGTAGTCCACCTTCCAGACAGGACAAGCACCCAGGAGCCCACTACCAGTAATGCAGGTGAGCTGTGAACTCTTTGACCTAATACAGGTTGAAATATGCAAGTGTTTTTTTTACACACTCTTCTTGTTAACAAATCTTTAGAATTTGAATGCTGCTGTTTAAAGGGTTATAGTGCTCAAACACTGAATGCTTCACCAGCAACCTACGGCCATCTTCCCTTGTGAGAAACTGGTTACCAAGTGATTGCGACACAGCCCACAAATGGTTAGTGGAGGTCGGGTCACTATTTGGGTTTACATGGAAGAATTGTTTTATATTGTTTTCCTTGGGATGATATCAAGTTTGGGCTTGACTTAAAGGGTTTGAACAGTGGCATTTTGTGGTACATACTGTGCACCAGCAAGACAAAGAAAAAGAGCTGTCATATACGCATTTGTTTTGCAGGTGACCTCCAGTTGCGCCTGTTGTCTTGCCATTAAAGTCGTAATTCTTTGTAATTAATTGATCAAATAGTGTCTTGGTGGTCTGAAAAGCATCTGTGTGAAAAGACAGCTGTAGTTTGGATTTTGGAAACAAAATGTAGCCATTTCTCCATATGTAAAAAAGGCCGATGTTGATTTAAAACACGTTGGTGACCTTTAAATGTTTCCTAATGCCGGAAGGCATTGATCTTCTGTTAAAAGAAACACTAAACCGTTGTTTTGGCTTGATGGGTGAAAGGAATTGGTCTGGATTTCTTTAACATAAGACGTTAATAAATTAACTACCCATATGACGCATAAGAAGCCCTGTGACGCTTTAGTCATTAAATTGTTGCAAAGCTTTTAATACACAAGCTCTTTTTGGTGTGTACTTCTTCATTGTGTTGCTTTTCTTATCAGTGATTAAGGTATACAGGCTTGTAGAATGGTTTTAAAATCATGTGCTTGATGGAAATGTGTAAAGTGATAATGTAGTGTCCATCTACAAACAGAGTGACAAAACTCAGCTAAGTAATTGTAGATAAATCTGAATTTTGTTAAATGTAAGTATATGGAAACAATTAGAACTAAACAAGAGGATCACCTATTTGGATGTAAGATTCTAAGGGAAAACCGAGGTGCATTTAGAAAAGGTAGGTTTTACTTAAGATTTAAAAAAATACTTAAAGATTACTCAAGTATTTTGGAACAAGCAATAGAAATGGATACATGGCGCATAGGTATTGTTGTGTACTGAGCTTTTGTAATGTTTCTCGTAAGACGTGATTGGATTTTGAAATACTTAAAGTATAGTGTAAGGGGTGATTGCTCAAGTTGGTTTTGTAATAAGGGGAGCACTACAGGGATCTATGTTCAAACCACTTCCTGTGTTCTATCAATCTAAATTCAGGTATAGTGAACTAAATCAAGTTGGCAGATTATACCGAAATGGGAGAATTGGTACTAAAAGCAGCAGGTGAAAATAAAAAATATATAATATCTAGACTGGGCAAGCACGTGGCAGATAATTTTTAATGTAGACATACAGAGTTTAAGGAGCCTACTTGAGTTTTTATAGTTCCATCTTGCTGACAATGCTGGAAAGAAATAAAAAAGGCAAAAAAAGATAATTATACATTGAACTATACAGTATAGTTAATATTTAATGTAAATTATAGTTTACGTTACAGAATGTTATATTAAAATTATGCAACAGACTGTGAAGACTACCTTTGTGATTTCCTGTGTTCCAAAAATATTATGTGGAATTCAGTCAAGAGAATACCAGATGCATTGTTGGTTTTGGAGGAATGTCCTACACTGTCAGGCTGTCAAAACTAAACCTTTTTATTCTTGACCAAACGGGCCAGTTATGCTGTCAAAGCCAATTCTCTGAGTACGTTAAAGATGTGGCCGGATGAGTTAGCTACTAATGATAAAGAGGAAGAGAGGACCTTTCCTCTTTGTGACCTTTTTTTATGTTCGTATTTTTTTCTAAATATTTTTAAAAATGCAAATGTGCTTTTTTCAGAGCCCTCCACCAGTCGGTCAGCCTTGAACTTCCAGGACGTTCTTGCCAGGCCACCCCTGAACCGCAGTCACCTGAACCTTTCCACACTGGACTCGCCTGCGCTGCACAGCCAGCCCTCCACATCCACAGCTTTTCCCATCAGCTCCTCGGGCTTTTCCTTGGTCAAGGAGATAAAGGACTCTACCTCTCAGCATGAAGACGACAACATCTCCACCACCAGTGGCTTCTCTTCAAGGGCCTCTGACAAAGGTATGGAGCTCTCTTTTCTTCCGTAAGGGTCTGAAATTGGTTTCGTGCAGCAGGTTAATCCTGGTTGATAACATGGGATGTCATTCAGAAACATTTCCCTGGTTTTGTTTTCTCCACTGATATTAGTGGAACCCCGATTTAGGGTTTTCAGGTCACATTAACATTAGTGTTAGTCGTAAATGCAAATATATTTATAGATATTTAAATAGTATTCTGTCCAACTTTAACTTAGTAAATGATTATTAGAAAATAGATATGAGACCATTTATACAACTGAACCTTATCCACATTGTTTTTAAATCATTCATTATGAAAGTGTAACTGGGAATAATTTACCACCAGCCCTCATACGTAAGAGTAAAGACGTTAAAATGTAGCCAGGCTGCTTGAGATTTGTGGGTACAGTGGATTAATTTGAATTTTACCTTCATTAACTCTGGTTATGGTATATGTATGTATGGCATTATGTATTGGTTCGTTTTATCTAAAGTCTGTATGACACTGAATGTTTATAAAGTTGTAATTTGCCCTCAAGCTGCAAAATTACTGGGATGTCAATGTACTATGTCATTATTTATGTGGGGGGGGTAGTATTTTTAATAGAGCAGGGCTATGTCCACGGTCCCCCCCGCATTCTGAGTGTTTCCCTTTCCAGATGTGACCACTTCAAAGAGCACCTGTTTGCCCCCTCTGTGGTCCCCAGAGGCTGAGCGCTTTGTTCCCCATCAAGCAGGAGCTGGTCTGAAGAAGCCAGCCTTCAACCTGTCTGTGTTTGGAAACTCTTCCAGTGTGAGTTCTCCTTTGCTGATCCTTAACTCTTCTCTGACCTCAGGCTGCCTTCATAATTTTTCTCTAAACTGTCTAGAGGTGATTCACCTCTTTAAAAGTTTGAGACTTTTAAAAAGCATGCAAACGTCCATTATAAATGATCGCAATATTGTGCTTCCTTTTTAAACTTCAGATGAGGTGAAAGTGTCTGCTGTCTTTAATTGTTAGCACTTGTTAAAGGCAGTTAAACAGTCCTTCGGTGTTTAATTATCATCCTTTTTTCTTCAGACCCTTGCAAACAATTCAGTACTCAACTCTACTCAGCTTGGTGACTCTCCCTTCTATCCTGGAAAGACCACATATGGAGGGGCAGCGGCAGTGAGGACAAGTTCCAGGATACGTGGCACGCCATACCAGGTAAAGTCTCTCCGCGGGACTGGACCAATCTAAAATACTTGAAAGTGCAGATTATTGTACAAGAGCAATATTTTTAGTTGATTTAAATATCAGAAAAAGTAGAAGGTTTTCAGTTTTGAGATTTTGATGGGATATGTGAAAACGTGCTGTCTGATCATTGTAAGCTTTCAGGTTACTTCTCTACTGTACACACTTGAACGGTGTCCACTTAAAGAAGGTGTTACTTCTCGACGTTCTGGGAAACAACCTGATCCCAAACATCTCAGCCTGCCTTTTCACAAGTTTCTATGAACAAGGGACCGGTTCTTGTGGTTCATTTCCTTTTTAGTTAACCTAGATGTTTAGTTATTATCTAAAAATGTTTCCACATACTTGGATATTTTTCTTAAATGTGTGTTTTCAAACTCAGCCACTTGACTGTGAAAATGTTCCTCTTAATTTTCTGAATCAGGTTTTGAGTTTATCGAACCAAAATCAAATGTTTTAATTTTCTAAATGTCCATACTGACATTTGTATGTGGTAAAAAAGTTCAATGAAGAAGTGTTTTTTGATTGAGGGGATGAGAGATTGGCCTATCCATCTTTCATTTTTCTTCTGAGAATGCCATGGAGTCTTTAGATATGAATCTGCAGGTGGTGCTTTTAGATAGCGATGATGTGGAAGAACAGGATTTGGGCATCAGAGGGTAGGGCTGGTGGTAAGACTGGATTATATGGTCTCTCCAGTGCTCTGTTTGGTAGTTTGAGTTTTTCACTGGACTGTGACAGAATTAGAGATTATATCAAACTGGTATACAGTAAATATGGTGGAATGGGTTGGCTCCCTGTACTGCCTGCAAAATACGAATTACAGGTTTCATTGTTTGAAAAATGTTATTTCGTGGATTTTTTTTAACGTTTACACTTACTGTGAATTTAGATTTTATTCTTCAAAATGTGACTTTCACATTAACATATTAAACAGCACTGGAAAGTGTTTAAATGTAACCTGTAAAAGCAATGTTTTTTTTCCTCATCCATCTTGTTTCGTGTATGCAGTAATACCAAAATGTAACTTTAAAAATAGCTGTTAATTATTTGCTTAACAGTGCACATGGGAGAGTATCGTGTCAGCAGTGCAGTCAGTTATTTAATTTTACTATCTGTATTTTTTTTTAGCTGCAACACCATTGTAGCTTGGATCCCTCTGTACTACTCTTATCATGAGTGTTCTGTGTGTAAAATTATACTTTCTCCTTTGGTGAATTTATTCAGCATCTTGTTGTAGTCGGTTTAAACCAAAAGGTTCAAATTTAAAAAAAAATACAGAACCATCCCAATCTGATTTTTTAATTATGATTTATCAGTATGTCCATGTTAAAAATGTAGAATGTGGAAAGCTAAAGGATATTTGTCTTTTCACTACTAAGCACTCATCTCCTCTCCTTAAAATTAAGCTTCGCAGTCAGTTCTTGCTGAAACATGTCCACCTGTTGTATGTTCATCAGTATGGAAAATGACAGCTCTCTCTTCAGCTGTTCACAGAGTACAAGGGTACCCTGTAATTCCAGAATCCTTTAATCCAGTTATCTGAAGCTGATGTTAGAAGCTCTGTAAAACATTTTTTTTCAGGAACTCAGATGGACCTTTCTCATTCTCATTGGTGTTTGTTGCCCAACAACGTTGTGTGCCAGAATATCAGTGGAGACAGTTATGTTTTGATCAAGGTCACTTTGTTGTCAAACACTGAATCATTTAATTTAGTTGGACTGTAGTCTTAAGAATGATCAAGGAAAAAGGTAGTCCATGACTGCAATGAAAGTGCTTAGATAATGTATTATGTAGATAGATCATGTTGATAGTTTCTGTAAGATTAGTAATATTTCATTTTTAGTGTTCGTTTGTGTTCATTTGTCAAAAATGATAAAACAGGATTTCACTGAATCTAAATTTTACTTTATTTATAAAGATTGGATTTTGAAAAACTGACTAGGCTTTATTTTTTTCTAGGCTCCTGTAAGAAGACAAGTTAAAGCAAAGCCAATTAGTTCTTCATCTTGTGGAGTAACGAGCGCCACTGCTCGAAGGATTCTGCAGTCTTTGGAGCGGATGTCAAGTCCTTTGGCAGTAAGTGTCTTCAAAAGTAAAAACCTTTGTCTCTTCAATGAGAATGAACTCAGAAGGTGATTCATCTATTTTTTAATTATAATGTGTCTCTCAAAAACCGTCTGAAGATTGAAGGGTGCGTGGACGTTTTTCTTTCTGGCCATTGTGCAACAAAGGCTTCTACCTTCGCCTTTGGGTTACCTGATAAAGCTCTAAGAATGTAGCATGAATGTAGACATTCTTTTGAATATGGGAAATAGAATTTGTGTACAATTTATTTTTCAAGATTTAAATGCTGAACTGAACAGTTTTGCAGTTGAATGTTTTTATTTTTTTACAGGATGCTAAAAGAATCCCATCATCTCTACCCTCACCTTTGTCCACAGTAAGTAGGATACGGTCTTAGGATATTTCAAATATTAGTGCCATACTTTTTTTTCTCTAATTTGAATTATTTCTTTACAGTCGCTGGATAGGAGTGATCTCGATGTTACAAATTTCCAGCCGAAAAGAAAAAAGGTAAGTGTCTTCAGGTCAGTTTGAATGAGTATTATGAGTATTAGTATTTACAGAATTATGGCTTAATTGGAGTGTTGTTATAGGGTTAGTTTTCTTTTGGAGTATGTTTGGAGAAATATTAAAACACAGAAACTCTCCCACTGTAAATAGGAGTTAAGGTTTAACTTGGCAAAGTTGCCTATTGAAAAAATTGTGATATTTCTGCACAGCTGCTTTGCAGCGAGCACAATTTGTACTTTCATTCTCCAGCTCCATTTAACACGGCAAATGTGTTCAGTATCTGAAGTGTTCATATGTGCCTATTGAAAAACATTAGTCAGAGGCTTCTGTGAGCAGCTGATAGTCATTATCAGTTTGTGTTAGGATCTTTGAAGAACCCCTTCGAGACCCACTTGGTTAATACAAGCTGTAGTTGCCCCATACAGCTATAGTATTATAGTTCTTTGCTAATTTTTATAACTGACCTTTTAAAAGGGGCTCAGTTATAAGCCTGGAATTCCTGTTAGACACACCGGTGCTGTACTGTTAAGCCATGGTACTTTAATCCAACGATCCGGTCCTCCAGGATGACAGTTCAGCAGTCGTGCAGGTCTCTTTGCCTTCAGCATGTCAAGAACCTGAGAGAAACGTTTCTTGGTACAGTTCAACCAGTAATCAGATTAGGTAATCAAAGCCTGTAGATAGTGTGACCGCTTAAGGCTGGAGTTCTGCACCCTAATCTACAGCGTTATTCATCTTAAGTAATTTTATGCCTGAATTTAAGCTTTCCAATATTTAGATATTCCTCTTTACATCAACATTATGAATGTAGAATTTAACACAATGTTATGTAATCAAAATGCAATATTGACAGGCTTATCACTGTGAAAGGCATAAATATGGAAATACTGTCAAGAACCCTGACTCCAGAAGCACAGTACATTCAGATATCGTTATCCTGTTTAATTTCATCTGCACATTTCAAAATTCTGCTGTCATTCATCCCTGGGAATCTGAGGTTGTTTTGGTTCTGTGATCATCCATTTCTGTTTCCCAGGTTGATTCTGCCCACCCTCCTGTTCAGAAGCTCGTGACCCCAACAGTTGCCTCAGTAGCTCTGAACAAATCCATTTCTTTCAAGCCCTCTTTGACTCCCTCTGGTAGCCTGAGCAGTTCGCGTAAATGGAAGGAAAACCGTGACCGGGTGAGTAAAGATGTCGGAATGTCATTAATCCGTTCTGAAGAGTGTCCTTATATGTATATGCTCAACATTTGTCTGTTCCTTAGGCTGGAAGACAATCAAACAAAGATGCTGAAATAACAGTAGAACCCCCTCAGAGGTGAGACAAGTACATTTGTAGTGAAATACTGCCATAATGTGAATATAAAAAACACATCTCATTTCCTCCTAGCTAATATTTAAATCTTTGAGCAACATTAAAGACTTAGGTCAGTCATGCAGTTGAAGATAATTAGCAAGATGAAGGAAATGTTTCTTGGTGGACATTATTAGATTTATAAGCAAATAAACAAGATTCAGCATGGCTTTCTCAGACTTAGCTGGACATAATCTTTAGTATAAATTGTTACCTCTTCTCTAGGTGTCTGTTACATTATGTGCTTCTCATCGTTTTTGTTTTCCTTCAGCACAAACAGATTTTCATACCCCCTGTTCAGCACTCCTGCAGCCAATGGCACAGGTTCTAGCAGGGCAGGTGGTAAAATGAAGAGGGAGAGAGCTTTTCAAAACTCTTCCAAGCATACTCGGGAAAATGAGGTAAGTATGTGTCATGAAGGTGTCACAGAATGCAGGTCATCAGAAAAAATATTTAGTTAAGCAAAAGCGTGAATAATTATTCTGTTTGTGGTGTTCCAAGATTTGCTTAAACCGGAGCTGCTTTATAGTTTTAGATCACAGTCATTCAACTGTTAAGGTAGTTTTAAATTGTCTGTATTGTTTTTAACTATTTTTTTCCACTAATTTCTAGTAATTTATTAAATTTCTACATAACTGTAAATACCAAGATGACCAACAATTTTATTAAAATCTGGGAGACGCCTTTCATATCAATTTATAACTGTTTTATGTATATATTTTTCCACTGAATTGCTAATGTACATGGAAAAGTATTTGGCATTGTATATTTACTATCAGTAGCTATTCACATCCCTTGTTTTATGGACTGAGATTTAACACATGACCTGCATGTATGTTAAATTTGCCATATAACCATTTGGTTCTACATACAATTCACAGTATCTATATTCAACATTATGATGCGTGTTTAGGAGTGATGACTGGCAGGGTTTTCATAGCTTTGGCTGGTTGCCTTGAAGGTGTTATAATAGCAGTTTTAAAATACATGTAAGATTTCTAATCTGTCCAAATAAGTAATTGGTTGTTTTAAATGTGCTATAGACTATAGAGGTGCCTGATCTGCCAAACACCTCGTTGCCCATCAGTACATCAGCGCTTCCCACTTTTAGCTTTGTCTGTCCTCCATCTACTGCTGCAAGTGTGCCTGCTACTAGCAAGGTAAGCTACTAAACTGAGTCTTGCAATATCAGCAAGGAAGCAAAGATTTCTTAGCTATCATTCCAACCCTCCAACATGGGGTACAGATTTATGAAATTCTAAATATTCTCAGGTCTGCATCCTGTAGTAATATATCTTGTACACTAGTGGTATAAGAATTGCAAACTATTAAATGTGCAGTAACTGCATACGAAGGGAAATATTCAGTTAAGATTTTGCTTAAGCTGTGGAGTCTAAAGGTTTAACTGTTTAAGGTGTCACTTTCAGAACCATTTCACACACTTATCTGTAATTAGCTTATCATTTGCATAATTTTTCAACAGTCTTTCCTTCACAACCCTTTTCCAGTGTTAATAATTTGGTTTGCCTTAAATCTGCTCCTTTTACTGTTAATTTCATTATCTAGTGTAGACAAGTGCATCATTAGATTTTACAATGTGCACCAAAGTTGTTACACTTGGGACAGGTTACTGCAGGTGCAGAAAGCCTTAAATCTATCTTTCCCAGCAGCATCTTCCATACAATGATGTGCTTTGTGCATATAGCCTGCCACTTTTATCTATCAGCATGGTCCAAATTAGACGATCAAGTCATGTAAGTCCTCTGCACCAAGCTAATAATTATGCGAAATGGGTTATATGACAATTTTTCAGACTTTCTTCAAATATGAATAGTGTTCTAGTAACCAGTACACTGTTATTTTTTGTCATGAATCATGTCATCCAGAGATTCCAAAGAAAACGTCTAATGCCGTTATTGTGGCAGAAGGAAGATGTAATGTACCGTTTTGCTGTGCAATATGTTGTACTCTTATTTGTTTAAATATATTGTAAGAATAATATTAACATTTCAAATTCTGTGGGTGTGCATTTCATGTTAGCCAAACAGGAAAAAATAGCAGTGCATAATAAGTTAGTGTGTGATCCTGTCCTAGTTCTATGATATTCATAGGGATAAAGCTGAGAAGCATAGCTGCCTGGTTTTATTTTGGACTGCTTTTGTAGAATTTGTCCAATATTAGTTTTTCTGTGGTATGAATTAGCAAATACTGGAATAATGGTTGCTATTTTGGTGTTTACTTTATGTTAAGGATATTGTTCTACTATTTTGTGCTCAGTATAAGGTTCTGGCGTTCTGTGTGAGTGTCATTGTCATTTATTCTCAGGTACCTTCTGCCACATCTAGTCCAAGCTGTGCTGCTTTCACCTTTTCCTCTCCCATTGTCAAAGCAACAGAGCCAAACCTTCTACCTCCTTCACCATCTGTGAGTGTCCTAGGAGTTAAAATTACTGAATAATGACAACACGAATTCATCCAAATGTTTTAAAGGAGGAAATGTTTAAATGTGTTTTAGTTTGGATCCCAGAAGGCCAAAATCCAGTTAAACTTACCTTTCTGTTATTTTAAATTAAAAAATATACAAATGGCACTCATACAATAGTTCAGTTTAATGATGCAATCTGGGGTTGGGCTGCTTTGTGAAATGCAGAACAGTATTTCACTTTTGGACAAAGGCCTTTTGGGAATACCTTTTTCTGTTTGTGCCAAGCAGGTATCTTTGTGCACTCCTATTTAAAACCAGTTTTGAATGCTTAACATGATATAAAGATATTAATGTGCACAGAAGCTAAGAGTAAGTTTTTGATAATGTATAACAAGTACTTGAAGGATGTACTCAGAATTAACCAATTGTCCTAAAATTTTGTAAGTGCATTTTGGTTGTCTGACCATTGACTATTAATCATTCTTTAGGCTGGATTTACATTTAGTGCTCCTGTCGCTAAAACTGCTCCTTCCAACTCCACTGGCAAGACCTACCCCTCATCAGTGACACCAGGTGAGCAAACCACAGGCAATATAGCTCATATTGATGAATGTCTCTAAAAGTGCATCATTGCCGGTACTTGTGCATGATGTTAGTTTGTGTAGCTTTATTGCCTTTTGATTTAACTCTTAGCTGAAGACATACTATTGAAAGTATCTCTATAAATGTTCTTTTTGTCCTATATCATGTAGTATTTATCAGGTATTCTTAGCTACTTACGAGTCATTGTTTTTTTGTGGTGTGCTGAAATTACAGAAATACTTCTTGGATTGCAGCAGAGTTATTAAAATGCTAATATTTCTCTTTTTTTGCAGTTAAAAATTCTTTAGCGTCATCTTCAACTTCTGGCTCTGCACAGAACAATGAGGTGTTTGAGGGTCCTTTTAAGCCAGCCAAAACTTTAAAGGAAGGCAGTGTATTAGACATCCTCAAGGGATCAGGTAAGTGGTTTCCTGTTGGATTGGTGTTGTGAGCTGACTACTTTATTTCCAGATTTTTATACACCTACCTACTGTACAGAAGGCTGTTATGGGCCTTTATTTATCTTTGGCATAGGCCTATTTTAAGCTATGTTTACTGTGGCAATAACCAAATACAGAAACCTTGAAGTGGTTGCACTGTATCACTGAAGGATGACCAATTTAAGAAAACCATTTTCACAAAGTTTTGTAATTTCATTGCAAGCAAGCTAGATATAACAAGTTTAATTCATCCTCCTTAAAAATGTAATTTCTATGTTTGACCACATTCTGTGCATAATAAACGTGGAAAGTGAAAGGAACAGACAGTGAGTGAGGATTATAAAGCAGTTATGTGAATAAGTTCATTTTGGATAAGGCTTTTTCTTTAATCAAGAAAAAGCTGGCAAGGGTGCATAACCTAGAGTTTAGAGTTTGCAAATATCAAATTCTTCATGTTAAGTGAGCTGTCATTTCCCAGCTATGACTGAAATTCCCCTAGTGTTGATATGCAATTAGTTGAATGCCTTTATAGTTGGGTAGGTTCTTCCATTTTACCACACGACTACTGAGAAGGTGTCAGTTTGTCCACTGGTCTAGTTGGTGCCACCTCTTAAAGGTTCTGTGAGCTTGTAAAAGGAAAGGCTCTGACAGTGTTGGAAAAAGTGTGATTACAGGTCCTCTTTCTTCCTCTTTGATACAGGGGTTTTATCATTTGATTGAAGTGATTGGCAGCTGTCAAATAAGATTTTTGTACTTGGATTAAACATTACAGCTATAGACCACTGTGTGAATTAAATGGCTTTACGCAAATGGAAATAGGAATTTGTGCAGTTTTTAATGAGATGAAAGCTGTTAGAATGGATGTGGTTGTCTTGTTGACCTAGTGATCTGAGTTTAGACAGCCTAATAAATCCAAATTATTTGTGGCCAGACGGCTTTGGTTTTCCTCATTGCGACGGTACCCAATTGCTACATAGGCCAGCCCTTGACGGCCGTCCAATTCTGCTTTAAAAAGAAATTCAGATGTCCAGTTATTGGTGTTGCCTTTCATCTTCTTTCTTTTCCTCTTTAGGGCATGGCCTTGATCTGCTTGTGATTGTGTGAAGAGTTTTATTTTGTGGTCATAAGGACATTAGTTTTTAGCTTAAATATCTGGCCTCCAGAGATATGCTTTTTAATGCAGTTAGAAATCTCTCTGCTCTTAGGCAGAAGGGCCATTTATGCATTCTACAGCTGCCAAGATATTTAATGAACTTCCCATTTTCCTGGCAGAGTTGCTACATTTGGCCCTTTTGTTCCCTGTATTCAGATTAAACAGCCTTATTCTAAATGTTTTCTAGAGCGACAGCCAGCTGGGTGAAAGAATGGTCCGAGAAACAAATCTTTTTGTAAAAAAGTAAAGCTAAAGCAAAGATGTGACTTCCTATATTCAACTCTTCCAGGTTTTTCTTCTCCTCTGACATCCAGAAACACCCCTATCCCGGTCAAGCCTTTCCAAACAAACACCAGTGGAAACTCTCCTGCTTCAGGCATTGCGCTTGGGGACAAGTTTAAACCAGCAGCTGGCTCCTGGCAGTGCAACACCTGTCTTTTGCAGAACGGTCCTTCTGATGGCAAATGCGTGGCTTGCCTATCTGCTAAACCAGGCACAGACTCTTTCAAACAGGGTCCCGGTCTCGGCAGTGGCAGTAAACCTTCCATAACGGAGCCCTTGCCTAGTTTTGTGGACAAATTCAGACCTGCAGCTGGAAGTTGGGAGTGCGACACTTGTTTAGTACAGAACAAGTCTGATGTCATTAAATGTGTGGCATGTGAGACACCCAAGCCTGGCACTGGAGTGAAGCCTGCCTTGACCATGCCTGCTGTTTCAGAACCCAAGTCAACAGCAACTTCCTCTGGCTCCTCAACTAGTAGCACTGTTGCTGGCGGCACAGCAGTGTCTACGGTGTCTTCAGGGGTGGGGTTTGGGGGACTGTTCAAGAAGAAGGAGGGTGCCTGGCAGTGTGAAGTGTGCCTTGTGGAGAATAAGGCAGAAGACAGCAAGTGTGTCGCCTGTCAAAGTACAAAAGCAGGTAGGCTCTTTATTTATAAACTAGAGATAGGGACATAACTTCCGATAATACTCAAATTCAAGTAGTGCATATGTTAAGTAGTTTCCTGATCCACTTTAAAGTGGCATGTGCAGCTCCCTGGGGGATTTTTCAGAAAATGGATTTTTTTTTTACAAAAGTGCTGGTCTCCTACAACAAGGTCAATATTATGCATTACATATGACTAATATATTTACTGTTCGGGCTTTAAAATCTTTTCCTTCAGGCATTTAACTGTTTCTGCAGAAATCCCTGTGCTGCAGAGTTCCCCAGTAACTGGGCTGTATTAGGAAGGTCTTTCGATCCTTACTCTTACCCCACCTGGCCACTAGGTGGTACTACACAGCTGTGAATCACTATCTGCTTCTTCCAGTTTAGAGTTGCTGGGGAGCCAGAGCCTATCCTGGCAAGCAAAGGGCACAAGAAAGGGTACACCCTGAATGGAATGCCAGTCATTTGCAGGGCAGACACACAGACACACTTTTCCTAGAACCCAATTACCCTTATTAGTATGTCTTTGAATCGGGGAGGAAACCAGCGCATATGGAGGAGAAGGACACACAAAGGGAGAGCATACAGACTCCACACAGAACCTAAGGATTCGACTCGACTCTGTGAGGCAGCAAGGCTCACCACTGTGTTGCTTCTACCAGCAAATATTCATGAAAAATACTTAGATGTCCTGGAAAGGAGCAGACTGAAAGTTTGAAAAATTGGCAAGGCTTGCTTAATATTCTTAGTACAGAATACAGTAGTTTGGAAAAAAATCTAAGTGTCAAACTCAAATGAGTGCTTTGAATACTTGGTCTCAATTTCCAGAGGTTTATGGTTGTGAGAGTTGAGTGGAGTGTTTTATGGTCTTTTGTGCAGAAAGCCCTGATGAAACTTGTCTTTGCTAGGTGCAGCTCCAGCTGACACAACAACTGGCCCTGTTCCCTTGGGGGGGTCGCTGCAGGGATTTGGTGACAAATTCAAGAAGCCGGAAGGGAGCTGGGACTGTGATGTGTGCTGCGTGCAGAATAAAGCTGAGGCCACTCAGTGTGTGGCCTGTCAGAGTGCCAGGCCAGGAGCCAAGGTGGAGCCCAAAGGTATGTGCTCCAAAGAAATTCTGGATAAAAGCTTCTTTCTGCATTGGTTACACTTATATAGCACTTTTCTGGAATCCTCCAATCAAAGTGCTTTACAGGTAATGGGAACTCCTCTCCACCACCACCAATGTGTAGCACCACCTGCCATAGTGCGCCAGAACGCTCACCAAACATCGGCTATTGGTGGGGAGGAGATCAGAGTAATGAAGCCAATTCATAGATGGGGATTATTAAATGGAGGCCATGATTGGTAAAGGCCAGGGGGAAATTTGGCCTGGACGCCGTGGTTACACCCTTACTCTGTTCGAGAAACACCCTGGGATTTTTAATGACCACAGAGAGCCAGGACCTCAGTTTTACGTCTCATCTGAAGGACTGCACTCTTTTACAGTATAGTGTCCCCGTCACTATACTGGGGCATTAGGACCCACACAGACCACAGGGTGAGCGCCCCCTGCTGGCCCCACTAACACCTCTTCCAGCAGCAACCTTAGTTTTTCCCAGGTAGTCTCCCATCCAGGTACTGACCAGGCTCACACCTTTTTAGCTTCAGTGGGTTGCCAGTTGTGAGTTGCAGAATGATATGGCTGCTGGCAAATTGGTTGGGTAAATTTTGTTGTTACAAAGGAACATAGTCTCCCTATTAGAACTAAGATTGTTAAATAGCCCTTTGCCATTGACGACTGAGACATTACATATTCAGTCCTCTGGCACTTGTATTCTCTATTGAAGGTGCTAAATGACTTGTTTAATTATCTTTGGAAGTAAATGGTAGAATACCGCCTGCAAAGTTAATTGAAGGTCAGTGTAGTATAATGGTTGTGTTGATATAGTGACATACTGCTTACATTTGTTCTCTTGTAGGTTTTACATCTTTGTCATCAAATACTGCAGCATCTCCCTTCACTTTTGGAATCCAGTCATCCTCTGCCACAGAATCTCCTGCAACTACAAACACAGGGGGCTTTACATTTGGAGACCAGGGTGGTATAAAATTTGGCTCCACCACAACAGACTCCAGTGCATCATCTAATAATGTGTCATCTGGTGCGTTTGGAGTAAGCTTTAAGTTTGGAACGAGCTCTTCTGCATCCACAGAGACAGATGACAGCAAAAAGGGTGATGCTCAGGCCTTTGGCAGCGGTTTTAAATTCGGCATCACAAGTGGCATTACATTTGGCACTGGAAATAGTGCCTGCAACCACACCGAAAACAAATCGGAATCGACGAGCAAACCCTCTCTGGAAGGCTTCTCGTTCGGACTTTCCACTCCAGCCAAAGCTGAAGAAAAGCCCACTGAGGGAGGCTTGACATTTGCAGCCTCGAAGGAGAAGTCAGAGCAGGCGGGATCCGTTCCCCCAGCAGCCGCCGTTTTCTCCTTTGGGAAAACGGAGGAGAAGAAAGCTGTGGTAGAACAGACACCGGCACTAAGTTTTAACTTTGGGAAGCCTGTCGAGAAGGAACTGGTGGTTCCGGTATCTTCTACCCCAGCTCCAGCACCTGCTCCCGCTGCTCCAGTTTTTGCATTTGGGAAGCTGGAAGAAAAACAGGACACTGGGAACAGCTCTTCTGGGTTCCTTTTCAACTCGGGAAAGGAGGCTGAGAAGTCCGCCCCGCAGCTCGGCTTCTCGTTTGGCAAGACCGCTCCACCCAAGGAGGAGACCAAGAGTGCGTTCTCATTCGCAAAGCCCGCTGAGAATCAAGACGCAGCCGAGCCACCCAAACCAGCATTTGCTTTTGGAGCTGCAGCTGCCGGTTAGTAAATTCACATACATGCGCTATATAAACACTGAATTTAAGGTCTGTCAGGTTCTTTTTAAATCCTGGCCACAGTTTGCTATTTGTGTCATTTGTCGTCGTGCATATCGACAACTTCAAAGCAACGAGTGCCTAAGAGCCCCAATTAAAAAGGTAATTTAATTAATCTTTATAAGGGAATCATGTCTTGAACGGCTGTAGCCTTTTTCTTAACTTATTCTGAATTCTAAATCAAGCTCCAGAGTTTTAGGAAAATGTGGACTCAATATGCTTTATGCTCTAATAGATTAAACAATTCTAGTGGTTCTGCATTATGGTCAGTCATAAAACATTCAGCATTTGCTAATGTCACAGCTCGTTGTTTTGTCAACCCCCTTTAGCAATAAAATCTAATTAGCACTTTTGACTTTTTTTTTTAAATGTGTGGTATCTGATGTGTTTCAGAACAAGGGGCTCCTAAGCCTGCTTTCAGTTTCCTAGCGGGTGGATCGTCCTCCACAGCTCCTGTTGCCCCCACCACAGCCGCCAGCCTCTTTGGGAACGCCAGCAGTTCCGCCACATCCAATCCTGCCCCAGCCTTTGTCTTTGGGCAAGGCAGTTCCTCGGAGGGCACCCCTGCCAAGACATTCATGTTTGGATCGCAGGAGACCAAACCCCCTGCAGCTCCTGGTGCTGGGACAACAGTCCAGCCCTTCATGTTTGGTTCGAGTAACGCAACCCCCCCATTCAACTTTGTGGCTACGGCCCCTTCCACAGCCAGCTCGACAGGTCAGCAGTGTCTCTTTTTGGCGAAAATGAGATTTTTAGGACCATGTTGTTTCTGCAGTTTGTCTTCTGTTTAAAATGTTACTCAGTTACTACGTGAACATGTAATGTGGGTAATAACTTGCATGTGACACATAAGACTACATATGCACACTATCTTCAGTTAGAACAGTAGAAAATATTATACTTGAGGTGCTAATCCGTTTAAAACAACTGATGCAAACTGTTTAAATGTAAAGGAAGTGGGCAGAAGCCATTTCAGATCATTTCCAGACTGAATTGGGAGATGTACTTGTTCATACATGTACATAGATTGCAGTACTTAATTTACAAGTGAACCTTCTCTTCTTATTATCATAGCAAGTTGGTTTATGGCTCACTTGAAAGCGTTCTGTCTTGTCATAAGCAGTTTAAAGAAGAGCTGCAGAGTGCTTTTAAATCTGGAGGTTTGTATAGAAAAGTGAAAAGATTTTGTAACTGAGACTGTGAACCTGTAAACCTACCCTTACTTGTAGTTGGCACATGTAACATATGGGCATTAGCACCAGTACAGTCATCTTGTTTGTTTTCATAGAAATCTTGTATTAAAGCCCATGTTTTATTAGCCTCTTTGCATATTGGAGAATCACATTCCACTTTTTTCAATTCATTCTGTAGGCTCCTCTGCTCCTCCATTTGTATTTGGCTCTGCCTCTTCATCCTCGTCAACCAGCGCCCCTGCTTTTGGTGTGAACCAAGCGCCTGCTTTTGGTCAGGGTTCCAGCCAGCCTAGTGCTCCTGCGTTTGGTTCAGCAGCAGCTTCTCTCTTCTCAGCTGGTTCTCAGCCAGCTTCCTTTGGGTCCCCGGCCAACAGTCAGGCTCCAGTGTTTGGGCAGCAGAACAATCAACAGCCTGCCTTTGGCTCCACAGCAGCACCTGCCAATCCAGGTCAGTGTCTGAAGCACAAATAAAACAAGGGAAGATTTTAAGTAACTGCTAATTTGCACTAATATATATTTGTTTCTCCCACTGCATTTGCAAAGACCTGAACGTGTCATAAAAAGCACATGTGATTTGAACACACCTAGTTTCCTACACAGAAGATGGTTCATTGTTTGTGACTGTTTCTGTTCAGAAAGTCATGGTTACCTTTCTCCATTATTGGCAGGTGGTGGGTTCCAGTTTGGGGCCACTAGTGCTTTTGGGGCCCCAACCAGTGGTGGGGTGTTTACGTTTGGAGGGCCAGGTGCATCTTCAGGCCCTTCAACAGCCCCAGCTGTCCCGACACAACCCTCAGCGCCCACTGCAGGCTTCAGCTTCTCCCAGCCCCCAGCCTTCAACATTGGGTAAGCCTGGTTCACAGAGCTTTGAGAATCACCTTTGCAATGGTCCCATGCATCATCACAGTTGAAGAGCAACAGGGTTCCTTTAAAACAAAAGTTGCTTGTCAAATAAAAGTGTAAAAATGACATTAATTTACCTTTCAAATTCAAATTTACGAATTTGAATTTTAAACTTTGTGATTATGAATTAGTTTTAGGAAGGTTGTTCTTTTAAAGCTATGTGCAAATTTCTCGCTATCAGCATTAAGTAGTTCTTATGGTAGTGCATTTATTTTAAACAATCGAAACCAATCTATGATTCTTGTTGGTCCTTCATAAGTGTTTTTTGTTCCTGGACAGGAGCGCTTTAGTGTCAAAAATGTAAATTGCTCAAACTGATTTCCAAATGTAATCTCACACTTCAAGCATGAAAATGTAAGCAATTTTTAAAGCTCGAAAAAACAGAAATGTAATGGATTACAGCATCACTATAACCCCTCCTCTGACTTCACAAATTTTAGCCTTGTTGGAAATCCATTTACGGTTTCTTGTGGTAGAATAGCCTAATGATTGATCTCATTCTCACCATTTTATCTTTTTGTATATCTCAAAATAATTAAAAAAAGTGTTTAGTCCACAGAGTAAGACGGTTGGCTTTTTCTTTGTAGTTAATTAGAAGTTGTAGTTTATTCTGCTCTGTTAATTGTTTTTTTTAGCGATTTATTCATAGTATAGTTACACACGTTTTGCAAAAAGCAGTTTCCTGCTACATTGCAGGCTGTACATTGATTAGCGCTGCCCCTTTTCCTCAAATAGTAACCTAATATTACTAGCATCACAAAATTGTGGGGTCTTAGTACGTGGAGTGGAGAATACTAACATTAATTCTGTCCTTAATCTTGGGGTTCTTTTTCCATCTGCAGATCTGCTAAGAGTTCATTCAACACACCTACCCCTGGACAGCATTCAATTGCTGGACGGAAGATTAAGACTGCTGTTAGACGCCGGAAGTAAAGGAAAAGAAACCCTGAAATAGACACTGAAGTACTTAAGATTTAAAACTGCTCATTTCAAATAAATCTGGTGCCCTGTACTGGTTTGTACCTCACTCTCTGGGCTCTGCTGAGTCAGTTTGCCTAGGACCATCTCTAGTCAGCTGAATCTTCGTCGCTGCTTGTTTTCTATTCTCCTGAGCTGCAAGGTGATGGATTAATAGAGGGGGAAAAAGATGAAACATGACAATATCAGCTTCAACAAAAGCAAATGTCATTTAGACCTAAGCGATGTCGGTAATGATTTAGCATGGTCTGGCTATCCATGTAGCCCACAGTTTGTTGGCTTTTGTAAACTGATACCTCTTCATCTGCACCACTATACAGTATAATGTTCACAGCAGGTTTTTATTGTAACTATGCCACAGGATTTGTGTACAGACTGAAATGTGAGATCAGTGGCTGAGACTGATTGATGTATGATGTGTGAAGTAAGTGAATGTGTAGAATTGGGGTGTGCTTGGGTGTCCCGTGCACTAACATGACTGTGGAGAGGGGCAATGAACAGATGCCTCTTCCTGAGGACTTTGTAAATCTTTACTTCTCTGCATCTCTTAACGTTTTCTTTTTCTCTTTTTTCTCATCAACCCGCCTTTTCAATATTTTATTATAAACTTCTGTAAATACAGTATGGTTGATTTGCGATCTATCTTTATCTGAATATGTGAACTTGAAATTTTTAATTTTTTTGTGTGTTAAATCATTTTTTGTTCGGTATTGTCTTTAGATTTTATGATGTAAATTCCATTATTCAAAGTTGCCTAAATCCATTTAAGTAAACCTTAATGCGAATTGGGAATTCTTTAAAGACTTAAGGTATATTGGCTTTTCTGATCCACTTTTGTTTGGACCAAAACCAGTATTGTACAAAGTATTAAGTATATATTTTTTTATCTTTTGTTTAAATGGACTGTGGTGACTTTGGATAATAAGGAAGACAATTTAATATTAAAGCCATGTTTATTACTGTATGATTAACAAAGTAAACCCATGGGGCAATTGCCATCAATAAAATTATGAATAGAGGGATGTGTGCTTCTTGAAGAGCTTTACTGTTGTCTAGACAGCAGGAATCCTTTTTGGCTTCTAAAACTCTAAAAAGAATGTAGTAGCTGTTATCTGTGGTAGAATCTTTCATTAAAACATTTGGTTAACATTTTTTTCCTAAAAATTACAATGAGGTAAAAAAAAAACTGTCAGGAGAAATTAGGTCTAACTGAAATAAACAGTAATGAAAGGGGGAAAGGTTTACAAGTGAGTTTGCCTGTCTTTCCCAGAGCAAAGGGAGACAGGTCGAGAACCGCTTGGAAGTTGCGACATTAATGTGGTTTCTCCCGTGTTATGTCAGAATCTCATGTGCTGGGGCTGAAACAGTGGTTTATGGCTTTGAAACAGACAGCTTTAAGAAACGGATTTGAATTGTATCAGGTGTGTAATCATGAGACAATGGACAGATGAGTTTCAGAAAGGTGCTCGAGGCACAGGTAGTCAAGATTTCGTCTTCTGTTAGGGGTGAAGAAAATGTGAAATGCTGGGTTGAGTAATGAAATTGTACAAGTCCAAGCAAAGTAAAATATTACAAGAACATGTCCAAGGTTCTTCAAGAGCCAAGTGAAAGAAACAGACATGCTAAAACTAGTAAAAAAAATTACAAAAAGAATAAGTGAAAAGTATAAAAATGTTGGTTTTATTAGGCTTCCTTGTATTTGAAATAGTAGTAGTGGAAAAATATTTGCCTTTTCAAATTTGCAAATGATATTTTTGAACTAGTGTTTAAAACAATGATTTTCAGGTTGCTGTATAAATGTTACTACAGAAGCGGTAATTTGGAGCCACAAACATTTCGGATCTTGTGTAGCCATCATGGAGAAGCAGGTTTAATGTGGAGAAATATAAGGTATTACAAGTACCAAGAATGCGATGTTGACTGCTAAGGAGAAAATATTCCAGTAATTTCGTCCTTAACTTTCATCTTGGAAAGCCATGTATGAATTGGTAACAACTGCAAGTAAATCTTTAGCTTGGAATAGAGTACAATCAGTGGGATTGAGCTAATTAAACCAGGGTTGAAGCAAGTCGTGTGTTAACAGCCTGGTGTGTGCATAATGCTTAAGCAATTTTTATGCTTCTAAATTGGATATAAGTGCAATATTCCATATTATTCCAGTAACCCATAGTGCCATAAAATATTGTATCTAGAGACTTTTAAGGTGCTTATTGCCAGCACACTTAACCTCTAAGGTATTCTATCAATCTATGGTGTCTGTAAGCATTGTACATTTAATAGTTCTTGCTGCTGCATCTACATCATAAGATTGAATTCAGAGATTCAAAGTATTGTGTGTAACAATTTATTAACCTGTTTTAACTTTCTTAGATGTTTATTTCATTGCATTATTTTTGTAAAAATGCTGCTTATTCTCGATTTCTGTGTGAAATATTTCAGAGCACTGAATCCGATACCAAGCGTATGATTAGACACTAAAAAATGCCTACAGTGACTCTTTAGGCGTTGAGCAGATAAAGGTGAGTACAGGCTGAGCTCTGATTGCAGGTTCAAGCCTGAGTCGTTTCACTAGTTGACTGGGTGTGTTACCGAGGGTGTAGAAGGGAATTAGTTGGCCAGGTCTCTTGGCAACATCGTGTTTGAGCTCCATGGATGATCAAAGCCGTGTAGCACAACATTGTCCTAGAAAACCACTTATTCAGGCTAAGAGTAGCTGCTCCCCAGAAGAATAGGCTGCAACACAAGACAACATCCCGGAAATGGGTAGGTATCCCTTCCAGGAACACCGAGATTTACCCATCTATGCCAGCAGCCATATCACCCTGCAACTCACAACTGGCAACCCACTGAAGCTAAGCTAGAGTGAGCCTGGTCAGTTCCTGGATGGGAGACCTCTGGGGAAAAACTAAGGTTGCTGCTGGAAGAGGCGTTAGGGGGGCCAGCAGGGGGCGCTCACCCTGCGGCTCATGTGGGTCCTAATGCCCCAGTGTAGTGACGGGGACACTATACTGTAAACAGGCGCCGTCCTTCGGATGAGACGTAAAACCGAGGTCTTGACTCTCTGTGGTCATTAAAAATCCCAGGGTGTTTCTCGAAAAGAGTAGGGGTGTAACCCCGGCGTCCTGGCCAAATTTCCCCCTCGGCTGTTATCAATCGTGGCCTCCTAACAGTCCCCCTCTGTGAATTGGCTTCATTACTCTGCTCTCCTCCCCACTGATAGCTGATGTGTGGTGAGCGTTCTGGCGCACTATGGCTGCCGTCGCATCATCCAGGTGGATGCTGCACATTGGTGGCGGTGGAGGGGGTCCCCATTACCTGTAAAGCGCTTTGAGTGGAGTGTCCAGAAAAAGCGCTATATAAGTGTAAGCAATTATTATTATTATTATTATTATTATTATTATTATTATTATTATTACCCTAGAAGGAAATCTGGGCCTTCTAGAGAATAACAGATCTGGGAAGGACATGCAAACTGCACACACGCATGCCACCTGTAACTGCAGTTGAATCCAGGATCAGAGAGCTGTACTCCAGCAGCAACATCTGCCGCACCAGTATGCAGAGCTCAAATTGATTCTAAATTAATGTGGGTTTTATGCTTCAGTGTGATTGGAATTGGTATTGTAAATCCCATCTAATTTTTTTAAATCGCAGTTTTTTTTCCCGTACATTACAATGTCAGATTTAATCTCAAGAATAACCTTGAACATCGAAGGATGTGTTTTTTCATCCCGAGGCGTGAAATTCATAACGGAGCGACTTCTGCCTCCGTGATACTGATTAAATCTCAGTGACGCTTTTAATTTATTTAAATGATTGAAATGCATTTTTAAAATTGTATCGTTAACGGAGTGCCTGGTTGTTGGAACATTGTAATGTATCGTCGTTGCAATGATTTCAATCTAGAAAAATACTGTTTTCTTGAGTCAGATTGGAGGATTACAATTTCGGGGTTTGAAGCCCTAAATATTCTTGTCGACTGAACTCTAGATATAATTGATCAGAAAAAAACAAATGTAGATCAACAGTATATTGTCAAAAGGAATTAGGCTCTTGCCAAGAAACGAGGTGTAACGTAAATGGTTTAGTTGAGCGGTGCGGAAACAAATCTGTATGTTATTGAGGATTACAAAACTGTAAGACTTGATTTTTGCAGAGCAGTGTGAAGCTGGGACATCACGCTACTGAAACTGGTTTGCTACTGTCCGTGAGGTACCACTAACCGGAAGTTCAGAGCTGACAGAAGTCACCGCTAGGAGGAGCGGATTGCGAATACAGGATTTTGAAAATAAATTCCAGTCGCTTTCCCAAAATGCAGGCAGGGTCTAGCAAATATGTAATCAAGGGGAATATAAGGGAAGCTTTAGGTCTAAGCTCCCAGAAGTTGTGGTAGCTTTGCACACCATAAATAGTTCTACCATGTTGATAGTAGGTTCTTTGAAGGTGAATGTGACATTACCGCGATTATTATTTTGTGTTCTTTTTTTATATATACGTTAAATTACTTTATACATTCTCTTTCGCAAAAGACCGGCTACCACAAAAGTTTTGTGTTGTTGTTGACGGAGGATTTGTAAGGTGTAAAACACTAGAGGACAAAAAAAACACTAGAGGACAAAGGTCAAAGGCGAAGGGTTACCGATCCGTCTCAACATGGCAGCTTGCATTTGCAGCAGGAGTGGATTTCCAGCGTTTAGACGTTCTTCGTTTCCCTGCCACGGGAAAGTGTTTTCGCCATCGGTGCATTTGGTGCCGAGATTCACAGTGCCCGAGTGCAGCACTGTGTTCAGGGAGTCTTCGAGCGGACAGTCCCAGCACAGTGAGAAGTACTGCCTTGATCTTGTCAGGTGAGCTCGCTTGGGTTCTCGGAATCAAAGGTGTCGAGTTCTGGTTCCGGAGTGCCTCCGTGTCTGTGGGTCCTAATCCCTTTTCCGTTCTCATCATCGATCAGATCGTGATGGGCTTAATATGACGAATTTAACAACTTCTCCGAGCTCATAAATTGCCTCATCTTTGGAGAGAGATAGAAACCTGCACAAGCTTTCGGTACCTGTACTGGACACACAAGCCACAGAGCAGCTGATGTTTGTAACCGCAAAATAGTTTGTCTAGTTGCCAGCTGTGTAGACGTTGTTAGATATGTACGCATCTTTAACGTGGTGTTGGTGGACGCACCAGATTGAGTCTTTACTCAAAGTGTGTTGATTATTTCATAAATTGTGTGCTTCAGAGTGTAATCATGCTTGATTCACTGCCCAGTCAATGAAGGACCGTATAATATTTATATTAATTTCTGTGAAAAATGTAGAGTCTCCATGTGACCTCTTCCTTTTTCAGTAAATATTGTAACCTGGAACTGTACAATAACGTGTAACGTGGAACTAGCTCAGGCAGGTATTTGTGCTCATTTTTATCTTGCTGGTTTTGTGGTGTCCTGGAAGACCCATGTAATACAAATATACACGCATAAAGATATTTCCAGCATACCTGTAATTAATATGCTAGTTTTGTAAATATGTAAAAAAATAGCATATTTTGTTATCCTATTATTATTTTACTGGGATAGAGTTTTCAGTGTCAGAAGTTGATGTTTAATAATAATAATAAACTTTATTTTTTGGGGGGGGCGTCTTTAAAAGTAACATCTCAAAGCACTTTACGGTACATGTAAAAAAAACGTAACTGTGTCAAATATATCTAAGAATATCAAGTTACAGAACAAGCATGTAAGAAGTGCAAAGAGGTGCAACAGATGATACATGGCCATTAGGAAATGGTACAGACACTAATTAAAGACAGAAACTTTTTTGGAAAGACAGGTTTGAGTTTGAGATTTAAATGCACTTGTGGTAGGTGACTCGGATATCTCTGGGGCAAGAAAAGGCGCTGTTATCCATAGAATGTAGACAAGCTTGGGGGACACATTGAACCCATGCCAGAGTCCGAAAGTAGATTGATAATAAGTCAGCCAGGTATTGAGGTGCCAAGCCTTGCAGAAGCTTATACATGTGCTTTTGTTTTATTAACTGGAGCTTTTGGTTTTTGGGTTGCTTGTCAAGCCAATCTGTATTTTAGCCCTCCCATGTGGAGAACATCTGAAGGAACAACTTTGGCTAAGATAGTTACAGCTTTAGGTGACTGAAAAGTGTTCCTTGGATTTTAGATAAAGTTTATGACACCTGGGAGAGTAAACACTTCTAGCATCAAAGCAGAGAGGATGTTTGCTGAGGTCAGGGAGCAAAAATAAAACATTTGTAAAGTTTTCCTTAGTATACCTAGGTATGTTGCAGGTGAATGATTATCAATGAGCAGTACAGAAACACGCAATATAAGATCACATTAAGAGCCCAGGAGAAACAGGGAAGGAAACGAGAAGCAGGGCATAAGGAGAGAGTAGAGTCTCTCAAGAGTCAAGAGTTGGGACTTGAAGCTTGCACCAGACGAGAGCCCCTACTTCATGATCATCCAAAACAAACCTGACTGGAGCTAAGTATTTGAACCTTGTTAGAGGTTAGAGGTTATAAAAAGGATAAATGTAGGTTTGTGTCTGTTTCTGATTGTCACATCATTCAGTCTTGCATGTAACAGGAAGGGAGGCAAGACTTTTACCTGCATAGGCTAATAAGTACTCTGGATCTGCGCCTGTGACTGGAAGGTTGCCGGTTCAAATCCCGCGGCCGGCAGAGGAATCCTACTCCGTTGGGACCCTGAGCAAGGCCCTTAACCCTAACTGCTCCAGGGGCGCCGTACAATGGCAGACCCTGCGCTCTGACCCCCAGCTTCTCTCCCTGTCTGTGTGTCTGTGTCTCCATGGAGAAAAGCTGGGGTATGCGAAAAGACGAATTCCTAA